AACAACTGGTTATAAGATGTTACGAGTATAAGAGGATAAAACCATATAAAACCCGTGCTATGCCATCCGATTTCTCTGGATAAATCTATCAGAATTCACCGCAAGTCTCGGCAACTTGGGGGTACCCCCACCATCAGTCGACGCGACGTGAGAAGTATCCCAGATGATCTGGGTGGATATTCCAGGTGTCCCATGGGTAATATGATTCAGTATTCAAACAGTTATTCAAACATGATAAACAAATGATGAAAAGTTATGAAAGCTGAAAAACATTCCTCCAAGAAAAATCACCACATGTTCAATGGCCATTTCAGGAACCTAAATTGGAGGTACCTACCATAATATAGGCCTATTTTTCAGGCCTATGTAAGGGAATATCCCAGCAAAATATGGCCAAACATATGGTACTAACGTACCCTCTGGTAATTTAACATAGCTATTGAATATGGTGATTTATAGTGGATTTTCCCATTGAAAATGGTGATTTTCCATAGCTACGTTAAATTACCAGAGGGTACCTCCATTTTAGGATCCTGAAGATCTCCCATTGACATGTTGTCATTGTGCTATTCACCAGCAGCCCTCCACCGTGGTCCACCGTGGTCCTCGCCATGTCTTTCACCCAGCCCGTCCTCAGTGAGTTTCAGCCATGGAGATTGCTGGGGAAGTCATCAAACTACCATCTGGTTATGACTAACATAGCCATGGAAAATCCCCGTAAATAAATGGAGGTTTCGTTCACTGGGAAAATCATCTGTTTCTATGGGCCATCTATACCATGGCTATGTTAAATAACCAGAGGGTAAATAGATCTAAATGGTGGATTTTCAGCCACGTTTGAGTACCGAAGGGATCCCCTTCGGGTATCCATGGTGAGCAGGAACCAGCTAGGAACCCCAGTGAATCCCAATCTTTCGGAATGCTGGACTCACAGAAATCTTTCGGAATGGTGAACTCAGATCACATCATATCACCATATACAAGTCTCACCCCTCTGGTTGTTCCACCTGAGCGTTCAACAACCTCAAAAAACATCAACAAATCCCTTGAAAAACTCATTCGTTGAGAAGGGGATATGGGATTTCCCGTTAATGGATGACGGTATTCCCCAACATATTGGTTGGTATAGCCCATGCGAAAAAAAATCATCAGTCAACCATCATCTATCAGTTATATCATTATATCACTTATATATCCACAATATGTTGATTATCAGTTATATATCCCATGACGGATCCATGGTGCTGGTATATATGCTAACATGAATCCCATCAATATACCCCATTTTTGTTAGCAGATATACCAGCACCATGGATCCGTCATGGGTATAGTTATATCAGTTATATCATATTATATCAACTACATACTGTAGACCTCCATCTCTTGATGGCTCAGCCACATGTTCAACCGGAACATTTTTTTCCAAACCGCTAAACCGTCAATAGATGATGATACCTCAATTCATGGGGAGTTACCCTCTGGTAAACGTTAACATAACTATGGAAAATCACCATTTATAGTGGATTTCCCCATGAATGGTGGATCTTTCCAGTTCGTTTTTTGTAAACGTTGACCAGGCCGGGTAAGCCTTAAGCTGGGTGTAGCCACTGATTGTCCAACAGCTCATCTTTCAGGACGGAGGCAGGATGGAGCCCCTGCACGCGGAAAAGCACCACGGTGCCATGGTCATTTAAGTTGGATGGAGATAGAACCAACCAAAACATAGTGATTTCAATGGATTGGTTGAAGGGAAAATCTACAGGAAACCATTGTTTTTACCATCAAATATAGGGCTTTCCTGTAAATTTTCCCATCATCCAATTCTATGATGATTTCATAGGAATGCCATGAGAATCTTAGTCGGATATTGGAATAAGGAATATATCATGATCATGGATACCCTCTGGTAATTTGTTACATAGCTATTGAACATGTCCATTGAAATAGTGGATTTACCCACCAAAAATGGTGATTTTCAACAGCTATGTAAGTTTACCAGAGGGTAGATGGTTTATGATCACTGAATGCGAATCCTAACAGAACGCATCTGAAATGATGACCATCCCCAAAATATTTGCAATTTTACCCAAGTTTTGACCATGGCACCAAATACTGAACCATAAAACACATGCCCGGAAAAGGTGGTTTATGACTTATCGAATTTTTAGTACTTGCCTGATTTTTCGAACCCACCAAAAATGTTAGCCGCTGTTAGCCGTTAGCAAATCTGGATCATCAACCCAAGTTGGATGGAAAACGACAAATAGTTGAAATGACCGCCCAGAAACTGATTTACTAATTTAGATTTAGATTATTTTATTTCAAACATCCAATGTGTGATTAAAACAGCATAACATGTCCAGCTGCTGCTTTCCCGAACATATGGCTTTGCCTGGCCTGAAAATAACACACCCCAACATTTCACCGGACAATTCCAGTGTGATTGTACGAATTGAAAGGCCATGAGCCTATGTCATACTGTTGGCTATATTCCATTCTATCCCCAATACATCACCATCAACATAATTGTGGTATGATTTAACTATATATGCCATCAATACATATTATATACCATCACCATCCCCATTGTGATTGGTTTAAGGTATGAAAAAATGATGGGATTTTCCCCTATTGATGGTATATACCATATATATATATATATTGAATGGGATAATATTCAATGGGATTTTCCCCTATTCTGAAACAACGATTTGCTATGGATATGTTCCACCATTCTCACTGATCATTCCTGGGGTACTGCAAGGCTTGTCCGACATATCACATCTGTGAAATGACAGCAAGGTATATCTGGGTCCATGTATGGTATTGTGATCCATATCCATATCATCCATATCATCCATATCATCCATATCATCCATATCATCCATATCATCCATATCATCCATATCATCCATATCCAAAAAATGTTCAAGAAATTATGGGATTAAAACATATATATATATATACCCATAGGATCCATGGTGCTGGTATATATGCTAACATAAAGGGGGTAGATTGATGGGATCCATGGCACACCATATATCGCAGCAGCATGGATCCTATGGGGTATACCTGGGTCCATGTTCAACCCGCTAGGATTTAGATCTTTAGATATCTTTAGTTTCTACTCACTTTACCCATTCCCCAAAGATTTTACATATTCTGATATTCCTAAACATAGATCCAAATACTAACCTCTGGAAACTTACGTAACGCAACCATGGACCATCATCATTTTTGTAGGTAAATCATCGAACTAAACGGGCCATGGCTTCGATAACGCACTATTAATTTACCAGAGGATATAGAATTGATGGAAAACCACCACTTTAGATGAACCCCATTGAATTTCCCATTGACACCTACATTTATACAAGTTGGTCCTTCGTAGTTTGCCAAGTTGGTGCAAATAACTCCAATAACTATAGGGTTTATGATAAAAAACAAATGTATCTAATGGGGGGCTATATTCAATAAACAACACTGGGGGGACCACTTTGTAGTTTAACGATCTCTCCAAGCATGAAAAAGGACTAGGCTAAGCGTTGGGTGTATAGATGAATTTCACTGAATTTCCTATTCAAACCTCCATTTAATGTTAGTAAAGCAACCATTCATCATTAATAGACTAATAATCACCATCTGGTTATTTAACATAGCCATGGAAAATCACCATTTTTAATAGGTCAACCCAGGTAAACCATCTATAATGGGGGTAATCGGGTATATAATATAAACCAATGGTAATAACTGGTTGGTGGTTAATGATGGTTAATGATGGTTAAGATATATACCCAATAATCATCCGCTATAGCTATGTTCTTCCCAACGGCCTGTCGCGCGCCTGCAAGCGCTGCGACAGGAACTGCAAGCGTCGCTTCGGCAGGAACTCCAGATCCGTGATGCCACGGCGTTTCGACCTGCCGCGGCTCGGGGCCAAAAAAAACAAGTTTTTTCACCAACGAAATTGGGTTTACCCTCTAGTAAACTAACATGGCTATGGAAAATCACTATTTTTAATGGGTAAATCCACTATAAATGGCCATTTTCAATAGCTATGTTAGTTTACCAGAGTGTAACCAACAAAAACGCAGGTTTAACCATCAAAAAACGCTGGTTTAACCATCAAAAATGGTGGTTAAACGGTTTAACCATCAAAAGTATACGGATTTATCCAGCGAATCATGAATGTGTTTGTCTGAACATGAGAATTTACCAAAAGTATGGCATTTTTTGGGGGGCACCTCATTTTCATACAACAACAACTCCTCAACCATACCAAATATCAGCCTTAAGAATATACAATTTCCACGGAACAAATCAACGCTGATGGTGGGCGGGTTGGATGATGCCAACAAAAACGGTAAGTGGTGCGGTGAAAAACGCCGTAACACCATGAGACCAGAATTACACTTGTTTCAACCAACAAAGAATTTGGGTTGTTAGGTGTTCATCAATATGTGCCAAGGTCAAAGTGTATAGGTTGTAGTCATCCATCCCCTTTCATGGCAATCCAAAGATCGTGGGTATTGAAACCCCTATGAAAATGGGATCGTGGCCATGATTTTTCACAAGAGAACATCATAAGACTACCCTCTGGTAAATTAACATAGACCCTGGCAGATAGGGGTTGGAAGATTAGTTTCCATTAAAACTGGGCTATTTTCAGGGTCTATGTTAATTTACCAGAGGGTATCCTTCTAGAATATATAAAATTATATAAATATGAATTCAGATATCACCCTAATATCCACAAAACGTCCATCCCAATCATCCCATAGTAAAAATCCTCAGATATAGAATGGTGTAGACTGGACATACCCTCTGGTAAACTAACCTAGCTATATTGAACATGACCATTTATTGTTGATTTACCCATAAGAAATGGTGATTTTCCATAGTTATGTAAACGTTTACCAGAGGCTAACTCCCCATGAATTGAGGTATCATCATCTATTGCTATTGGACGAGACGCCATGTTTAGACTCCAAGGTTCCGGCTCAGTGGTCCAGTCCAGCAAAGGCTCTCGGATGAACAAAGCACACCTGGCTGTTGGACAAGATCTTCGAACTGCGTCATGACGCCATCATAGACGCTACTGCAGCTTGAGAAAGTTTACAAATCTTGGATTTGGCTATGTCAAAAGCCCAGTGTCCCAATATCCGTTACCTTCCTTCCAGCGAGCTTTCCAGATAGGCGTGGCAATCGAGTCAAGAACAAAATGCCATAAAAACCCAGGGAAACTTAGTTCATTGCTCCATTGCATGTCAAACTCCACAACTCCCTACCAAATGTCCCAGCTATAAAATCACCCTGGTCAAGTCTGATAGTAATTATAATTATAACCCCCCCCAGAATTTACCATGAACCAACAGAAGCTCAGGTTACGGCTTAACCTTTGTGCATTGACGTCATGTCCACATTTCATCGTGGTCAGCCACCCATCAGGCCGGGGGGACACATCCAGCAGTATTCCACTCCTTGATCTGCATGTGCGCAAGACCTGCTGATGGTGGCCGGTGAGATAAGGAAGGTCGCATACCCTCTGGTAATTAAACGTGGGAATGGACAAATCCTGATGAACCCCTTATAAGTGAAGGTTTAAATGGAAAAAACATACATGAATGGGAATTTTCAATTGCAACCCTTGATTACAGGAAGGTACATTTGAGATCAATACAGGAATACCACCAAGATTGAGTGGACATTTTCAGAAAGACGCTTATTTTAAGTTTGGGATGCAAAGACAGATTTGGACATTTCATCTAGTCTGGGTAAATTCTAATATTTCACTAACCTGAATAGTTCGGCCATGGCTGGGGATGATTTTCCTTACCAACTATGATTCCAGGGTTCGGTCGCAGTGAGGTCGTTATAATTTACACAGATCTATATTAATCATCATGAACCATCATTAACATTCATTAACCATCATTAACCACCAACCAGTTATTACCATCATTACCATTGGGGATCCTATCGGCTTTATCTTTTTCTATCACAGTTATATCACCTAAGACCGGGGAGGTCTTAACACTGGACCCACGCCTCCTCCAGGCTGTCTCGGAAGGTGCCATGCCTTGGTTGATCTAGGGCCCCTAGGGTAAAATAAGGTAGATGTGGAAAATCAACTTGTTCAATATGGTTTTCCACATCTATGTTAGTCTACCTCAGGCTAATAATTATATTGAAAAAAATGTAATAACTTCAAATGATATTACTAATCCTGGTTGACATTATATATACCTACATATAGTTCATATAGTTGATACTAGTTATCAACTATGGATCGTAATAAAATTTGTTGATAGTAATCTAATTATAATAACCATTATGACTATGGTGGTTGTTACAATTGAAACAAATATTGACAACCAACAACTGATAATATCAATTGAAATTATATAATCAGTCTACATATTCAATACTACCTTTTAGGAAATAGCATTATTGGTATTGTACATTATCAATTATATGTAGTGATCAATTGGATCAATAGTATTGTTAGCGACAAGAACATATGTTATCATTTAAGTCCTGATAAGTAAACATAGTACAGTAAAAGATAGTCAAAAACCAATTGGATGCTATTGATATTCAAAATCAGAATAATCATGATTAAGCCAACAACCAAGTCATCAAGCAATGGACTCAAGTAGTCAATGTATGAAAAACACATTGATACAGAATATCCAGAAGCTAGCCATTAAGTGCAGATTGTCGATAAATGATTTGAAAAATCGGTCAGCTCACAGTGCCAAACAGTTCAGAATCTGCCTCCACAACTCGTCAGAATGGCTTGGTTTAAGGCAACATGTACAGGAAGCTGTGGTTTTGACCTCAAAGATAGACCAGTTCCGGAGCTTCAGTATGCTTTAGTTGCTTCTTGTAGCTACACATCCCACACAGATCCAAAAATGTGCAGGATCTTATTTCTATAAGATGCAATAGTGATGGAAAACACACGAGATAAGAAGATGATAAGATTCTAAACTACCATGTGGTCGGCAAACGCAAAGCCAAGTCTCCAAACTGCCCTCCACCACCGGATTCTGGGGGCTGCCACCCTGATGGCCCTGCAAGTGGCTGCAAAGCGCTCAAGAGGAAACTTGTAAGGCCTTAGGGCTGCAGGAATGCCATAATCAGTGCGTGCGTCATTCCCAACTCATAGTCATTGGATTGGTTTAAGGGAAAATTTACAGGAAACCTCCATATTTAGTGGTAAAAACCATGGTTTCCGGTTCCGATTTTCCCTTAAACCAATCCAATGACATAGGGATTCCCATGAGAAAAAATATCTCCCTATCAATGTGGTAAATCCAGTGTCAGAAACCATCCCAAATAGAGTGTAGTGGTGCTTCGAAGCGACCCCCTTAGGGCCTATCTTTGAGCATACAGTGTATAAATATTCAATGTATGTATGTATTAGTATACATATATACACATATTTATAGTCACATATATATATATTTATAACCCCCGAGGACTCATGAAACCTGCTCAGTACTGAGTGGGCCGGGTACCTACCTAATGGTCTGAATGGATGTTTTCACATATATATTGTACACACACTTTAATGTAAAGGACAGAACGAAACACATAACAAAACAGACACTTTAATTACTTTACTTCGAGTGATCCCCACCATGACATTTCAAAACAGCTAGTTGACAGCACTTTTGTCTGAAGCTTTTGTCACGGGACTTTTGCCCAACTAACTATCCCAATCATTTGTTTCACCTGGCAGGTCATTGTACAGGTCAGACTGTCAAACAGGATATAAACATGTCAGTGGACCATGTGAAGTAAACTCCAGAGCTCTCAACAGGTTTGTTTAAACATGACCAAACAGGGCAGTGGACCACCTGAGCCAAACAAACAAACATGCCCAAACATGTCAGCACGCCGCCTGTCAAACATGTTTGTACAAACATGACTGAACCAAGCCAGTGGGCCCCTGAACCAAAGTCAAAGGCTCGCAAGCTCACGTGTAAACTCGACAAAATCTCAGGGAACACTGGGCGCGGATGGTCGCGGTTGAGGTCCGGCAGGGAACACTGGGCGCGGATGGTCGTGGTTGAGGTCCGGCAGGGAACACTGGGCGCGGATGGTCGTGGTTGAGGTTCGGCAGGGAACACTGGGCGTGGATGGTCGTGGTTGAGGTCCGGCAGGGAACACTGGGCGTGGGTGGTCGTGGTTGAGGTCCGGCAGAGAACACTGTGGATCGCAGGTCGCAGTTGAGCAAGGACGACGAGGACGACGAGGACGACAAGGACGACAAGGATGACAAGGAGGACGAGGAGGAGGAGGACGAGGCAGGAGGCGGCGGAGGAGGAGGAGGAGCAGGAGGAGGAGGCAACTGACATAAAATCTAACAACCCTCACCTGGCAGGTGGGGAAAAAACGACCATCGTTCGTTCAGATTCGCCCCACGCGAATCAAAGGGGGTTCACCTGACTCCGGGTTTGGAAGGTTCACTATTGTGGCAAGAAATCTTGGGAGACCATTTTTTTGCGGGGAAAAACCACAAGATGTAATTACAAGTACTACAAGTACTACAAGTTCATCGGCAAAAAAAACAAGTTTTAATCAGATTTCAATTGTAGCCAATTGAAATCCTTACTTAAGTGCTTTTTTTCCTGGGACGCAACTTTTTGGCACCCAACTTTAAAGAGGGTATAGCTATTGTTTGGGGGGGAAGGGCCTTACATTAATCAGGACGAAACATTATGAATATTTGATGAGTAAGCAAACCTAAAAGCTAAAAGGCGGGGTCCCCAAACGTTACCTTAGTTTGTTATACCCCCGTCAATTAACTATAGTTACATCCCCCAATCCTAGTTAACAAAGTTAAAACTGGTTCTTTGCATCAAGTCAGCTATCTAAATCCCATCAAATCCCATCAAAATCCCTTTAAATCACCATTTTTGCTGGTAAAATCACATCAAAATAGCTGGTAAATGGATGTTCATCCCATTAAAATGGTATTAATAGGTATTGATCCATACCCAAATGCCTAAGGGGGGACCCCACCTTGATGATTTGTCTCAGCTCCCAACGGAAGGGCATCAGTTCGGGCACCGGTAGCAGAGCACCGATACCAAAGGAGTAACCGAAGTCGATGGGCACGATCTGCACAAACACTTTTGGCGCAGAAATCAGGTCGATTTAGGCGACAAGGAATGAGATGTTAAGGATCAAAAATTGGAGTTTTAAACCATCAAACATAACATTTCTGTATTATAAGCATCGAAAAAATGTGATTCAACATGAAATTATCATCAAACAAGTGGATTTGACTGACAAAACATGACATTTAACCACCAAAAACTTGGGCTTTGACCATAAAACATGTGGATCTACCGAGAAAAATACGGACTTACCCATAAGATTTGGAAATTAGCACCAAAAATTACTTTATGCCAGACTTAGTCAATCATATATCATGTACTAACTGATTTGGGGAGCATTGTGAAGTGCCACTCTCAATCATGCTGAGTTAGCTGAATATACATCCTAGAAGTACCCTTGACCTCGACTTGTCGTCAGAAGTTTGACTTTTGGCAGAAAATTCTGGGGTGGCCAATTTTGGCGGATAAATTCAAGGTCTAGGTAGATTATGGTAGATTTACCACAAGGATACGCAAGGTCTGTGCCACATATCAGGGGGAATCGCAAGTTTGATGTGCATGATGTTGGGGGCCACGTGGGTCAACAATGGTCAACACGTAGGAAAATGCAAGCGGCCAGACTGGGAAGACGAGGCGGAAAGGACAGGCCGTGAGTTTCACAATAAAAATGGAACGCAAAGTGAACTGTTGGGTTTCCGGCCAAGACCAAGCATGGAATTACAAACGAATATTGCATAGATTCGAGTCCCATTTTATAGAACCCCTTTTAACGTCCATCTTCAATGAGCAAAATCACAGCAATAATTAACAAGGGAAATTCGGGTGAATTTCTTAACATGTTCAGGCAAAGCCATATTGTAAGGTGGTCATGGCAATTCCAATTTCGGATGGTTAAATCAACTTTTTGTTGCTGGGTAAAAGTCAGTTTTGGAAAGTTACTCTCCTGCAATCAAACCATAACAATGGAAACATCATGGAAAATCCAGCATGTATAAATGCTGTTCCCAATCAAGCTTCAAGTTCGCGGATTTCCTATATTTCAATTACCGGCTAAATCACCCATACTGTGGATGGAACAAATCCTGCACAACCTTGGATGGTTGAAACCCTATAGATAATGGGATAAACCAGCTATCAACTGGTGCAGGATTTTGCAACCATCCACAGTAGATGTGGAAAAACCCAAAAACCCACCACTGGTAGATCATATATACTGTGAACAGGTTATAGTCCCATTAACAGTTACCAACTGGTGCAGGAATTCGCAACCATCCACTGTAGGCGTGCAACGAAACCGAGGCCCCCGAGGCGCCTCTGCTGTGCGAAGGCACAGCAAGTAGTTGTCCAAGTGTCTGGTTTGCCAGTCAGGGGATCCCCAATGCTTGGGCTTATGAATGGTTTAAGAAACATGGACTTAATATGTGTTTTTTTTTCATATGGTTTAAAACATAAAACATCAATGGTTGTTCAATGGTTTATCAATTCATCAATGGTTTATCAATATTTTGTTCCAATGATTTATGAATGGTTGTTCAATATGATCAACAACAAGAATCACGTGTGCAACGGTTTACCAAACATCAGGAACACATATGATTCATCAATGGATGGAATGGGATATCCAACTAGAATTTGAATCATGGGTTTCTATCGGTTCTAGTATGGAATGGGGTAAATTAATCATGATGATCTGGTTGGTGGTTTCAACCCCTCTGAAAAATATGAAAGTCAATTTGGATGATGATTCCCAATAGATGGAAACATAAAATTCATGTTCCAAACCACCAACCAGTGATTTATCTGAACAATAAGGATGGTTTTCTTTGAATCCATAGGGATACCCGGGTCCATTCGAATTCATTGTTCTATGTCATCATGCGTCCTATTAACCATGGCAATCTGGGGGGTATAACCCCATTTCCAGTTCCAGCTACACCCAAATCCAGTATTCATTGGATAAATCCCTATTTTTTTGATTTTTATGGTTAAATCATGTTAAATCCATATTGTTATGGTGAAACACCTACAATTGTTGTATGGTTTAAACGGTGAACGATCCCATCTTCTATCGGGCCATTTTTCCCAAGTTTTTTTGCTGGTTTAACTCCTTATCTTTTGGTAACCAAGGACTTGCAACGATGGAATCTGGCTACAATGTGGTGCCCCCCCGTTATAAGTTGGTTTATAAGCCCCAGTAACTATAGTTATAAGTACCATAAACCATAGTTATTGGAGTTATAAACCAACTTAGCTATCTTGGGGGCCTCACATTGTAAGAGATGATCGATTTACCACCATTTTTTCTGGCAAAAAAACACATCCTTCAGATGCAAAACCAGAGGTTTGGCCAGGTCATGTGGTAACCGTTATAAGACACCAATCTGATATGGACATCTTAAACCAAGGTTTTCTGATGTGTTTCCACGATTTGTGGTACTCCAAAAGCATAATCTAACACAAACTTCACCAAGACCATGATCAAAACATCCAGGCTATAAGATGTACAGTTGTACCATTTGTACTATCATGTACCCTCCGGTTATTTAACACAGCCATGGACAATCACCATTTTTAATAGGTAAACCATCTATAAATGGGCCATGTTCCATGGCTATGTTAAATAACCAGAGGGTAAATCTTCTAGTACACCAAAACAAAAAAGTTCGATGATGTGACTATTTCTGTTTTGATCAACTCAACCAAGAACCTCCCCTACCTGTAGGTACCAAAAAAAACATGCCATGAATGCTTTTAGTGTAAACACATCAGAAAACGCGTTCCATTGTCATAGATGATACTGGTCACATAACCAGTAGTGAACTATCAGGATAGTTGACTCTAAGCACTCATTCTTGTCATATTGACCACGACTAAATAACCAGCACCATGCCTTAGACTCCTGTAGACTAACATGACTAATGCCTCTATGGATTATTTCATTTGTGACTCATGCTGCATGTAATAATCACTAATATGGTATATACATTGATATGGTAATCCTGAAGTAGATGCAGCATATGTTTTTTTTCATATTCCTATGTTAGTGATGAAGTTTTCATTTTTCCATATTCTATCTACTCCAGGATTCGGAAGATCTGGTAAACCTAATGCCAGAAACCATCCCCCAAATCAAAATCAGGTGTATAAAGCATCCCCAAATGGTAGGTTCATCATTGAATTTGCCAGAAATGTAATAGGATCTAGTTATTAGAAATGATCTATTATTACCATCACAATAATATGAATGAACTAACCATCATACAACCATCATACTATCATTATTAATTTAATTACATCACAACCATCATCATATGATCAACTTTATTGGACCATCATTGAATGGACAATCATCTATTTTCATGTTCCAATAATGTTGATCATAGTTATACCAATCATCCCACATATTATAATTAATTAGATCATAATGTTATGAAAAATGTCATTATTATCATGTTTGTTTATATAATGATATTTATAAAACGTGTCTTATCATAATTCATGATAACATTAATACTATATAATATGGTGATTTACCATTGTTGTTGATATCATCCCAACAATAGTCAATAGTTACATATATATCCTGTGATTACTAATAGTAATCTGTGTATTTATCTTATAATTATTAATTATCCCCATTATTACTAATAAATAATGATGATATCTGATGGTATTCTCATTAAATGATATCCCCATTATTGATTATCTATGATATTACTATACCTTGGATGATTATTACCATATAATTTATTATCATTTCACATCCCATAGCCACACCTGTAGCTCCATCGTCGAGGCACCGGTCACCAATGCCCAAGAGGTAGCAAGCTGCACTCGCACACGCCAATGAAGCAGCGAAGCGTTGCCGCGTGTGCCAAAAAGCCTGTGGTAGGACAATAAAAATCGGTAATTTCACTGGGGATTTCATAGGATTCAATGGCCTTTCATGGGATTTGATAGGGATTTTACCGGATTTCATGGCGTTTATATTGACTGAACGGGATTGACAGAGGTCAAATGAGGATCTCAATGGGACTCGCCATGGCCCAAACGGCCTCCTAAAAGGTGAGCCAGACATCCATTGGATCACAATAGCAATGAATTGGAAATGGATATGGATATGTTATCATATCCCATAGGATCCATGTATGCTATATATGGCAACATTTACCATCAATATACCACCAATGTTAGCATATATACTATACATGGATCCTATGGGTATGTTTAAATCCCAGAATTTCTTGATTTTTTTTGGATATGGATGATATATGGATGATATGGATGATATGGATATGGATCACAATTCGGAACATCTTCAAATCCCAACATCATCCAACATCCATATCCATACTCTTCATACGTCGCCACCCTGGCCACCAGGTTGCACAAAGTGTGTGATCCCGGAAGGATCGATCGAAAATCGCACCTCCAAATGCAGAACATGTCCAACAAAAATAAACATGTTGATATATAGATATATAATTTTAGATATTATATATATATATGTATGTGTATTACATGTATGTATGTATGTATGTATGTGTATTACATGTATGTATGTATGTATGTATGTGTATTACATGTATGTATGTATGTATGTATGTGTATTACATGTATGTATGTATGTATGTATGTATGTATGTATGTGTATTACATGTATGTATGTATGTATGTGTATTACATGTATGTATGTTTGTATGTATGTGTATTACATGTATGTATGTATGTATGTATGTATGTGTATTACATGTATGTATGTATGTATGTATGTATGTATGTATATATGTATGTGTATTACATGTATGTATGTATGTATGTGTATTACATGTATGTATGTATGTATGTATGTGTATTACATGTATGTATGTATGTATGTATATATGTATGTGTATTACATGTATGTATGTATGTATGTATGTATGTATATATGTATGTGTATTACATGTATGTATGTATGTATGTATATATGTATGTGTATTACATGTATGTATGTATGTATGTATGTATATATGTATGTGTATTACATGTATGTATGTATGTATGTATGTATGTATGTATATATGTATGTGTATTACATGTATGTATGTATGTATGTATATATGTATGTGTATTACATGTATGTATGTATGTATGTATGTGTATTACATGTATGTATGTATGTATGTTTGTATGTATGTGTATTACATGTATGTATGTATGTATGTATGTATGTGTATTACATGTATGTATGTATGTATGTATATATGTATGTGTATTACATGTATGTATGTATGTATGTATGTGTATTACATGTATGTATGTATGTATGTATGTATGTATGTATGTATGTATGTATGTATGTATGTATGTATGTATGTATGTATGTATATATGTATGTGTATTACATGTATGTATGTATGTATGTATGTATGTATGTATGTATGTATGTATGTATGTATGTATGTTTATATGTATGTGTATTACATGTATGTATGTATGTATGTATGTATGTATGTGTATTACATGTATGTATGTATGTATGTATATATATATATACACGTATAGACATACATATGTATATCAAATTTTGTTGAACATTTTCTGCATTTGGAGGTGAGGGTAAAGCACCCACCCATTCACCATACACGAATTCAGCTGCAAACCAGCCTCTGGACCCATGGCACTGCTCCAAAAAAATGCCTCAGAACAGGCAGCGAAAAACAGCCCAGCAACTACACAGTGAGGTGGGGTTGAGAAGGTTTTGTCCAAGGACAAACTACATTTTTTTTCCTGTCCGGAAAGGAATTGCTGCATTAGCTAACCTTGAAACTCTTCCAACATCATGGACGGGATGCAAATAAACTGTGGAAGAATTGGACCCAGGAAATTGACTTAGAGGATGGTCTGCTGTCGCAGGTTGCCTGGATGCACATTATATACTATCACCTGATAGAAGTGGGTCATTTCACCTCTTTCCCTTTGAATTAATGTCCAGCACAGTTACCAACGCACGCAGTCTTAGTAACTCAATCATTCTAGATGTCTAGTGGATAGTTTGGGCTACTTCGTGAGTTGAGCCTGCACAACTGGTGACAAATCAATCCCTTTCAAGAATGGTACACTGGAAGCTTCCAAATAAAACATGATAGCATTTTGTCTTGATTAAACACGTTTTCTTCATGCTCAAACTTCAATTTTGCCTGGGTAACCATTAACCACTTACATGGCTTCAAGTGGGGCCCCAAATTAAAGCCACAAAACAAACCAAAATAGTCGTTGAAAGGACCACATACAGTATGTTCTTTTGGTTTCCAATATCAGGGTTGCTCCCACCCCATATGCGGGGAAACTGGGTAGATAGAGAGGTAAAATCACCCGTTTCCCCTTGTGGCTATCATTTACCTATGGATTGGAGCAATTCTCTCCATTGATGATCTAACATCATCATTGGATAACATAGATGGATATAGATGGTATATATATATGTATATATATATATAGAGATGTATATATATATTATATATATAGATGTACATAGATGTGTATATATATATATGTATATAACAGGTTGAACACCTGACTTCTAATGCGTGGGTCACCACGAGGGCAGCGCAGCGCTAAGCGATGCTAAGCGCGCCTTCAAGGAGGCTGAGCTAGGCATTGCCACCACGCAGCGCTGGAACCTGCGATCCAAAGAGTAGTGGATATCCTCTGGTAAACATACAAAAAGCTATTGAAAATGGCCATTGAAATAGTGGATTTTCCCATTAAAACTGGGTGATTTTCCATAGCTATGTTAATTTACCAGAGGGTAATGTATATGTCATACTGTGTCACACATGACATGTATATATATATATATGGGTTCGGTGCACTTTCCGGGCCCCAAGGGTATTATGATTAGGATTGGTTATAGTTATCATGATTGTTTATTTAAATGGAAAACGCACTGAGACCATGTGTATGTCAGTATGTGGTGTATCATGATATGGTGTCTCATGTGTCTGCTTCACAATTAGGCTTCTTGTCTCAATCTGCTTTCATATCACTGATGCCTCAACACAACATGTTTATAAAGACACTTTTGTTTAAAACATTTTGTCTTAGATAAAAACAAACAAAAACAATATTCTGCAAACTAGTTCAGTTTTTTTGTTTTTTTTGGTTTACCTTTTATAGAGATTTGCCAGATAACAGGAGGTATTTGCTAGATGACAGGAGGCATTTGTAGATGAGGCTCCATGCCAACAGTGCTAATGCACTACTGTTTGACATAGGTTGGAAATTATTTTAGAGAAATGCATTTTGTTGCAGAAACTTCTTCATTAGACATTCTAATATTCCTTGCAGTGTTACAACATTCCTTTTGAGAAATATAAACCCTTTTCAAGATGGCTGCTTCAATTGGAAACTGCATTCATCTTTGAAGCTTTTTTGGGAAAGAACTTCTTCATTGCAAACACAATACCCCTTGAAGTGTTGCAGCATTGCTTTTGAGAAATATGTTTCATTACAAATTATATAAAATATCCCGTGAAGTATTGCAGCATTACTTTTGAAAAACACATGCCTTTTTCGAGATGCCTGTTTCAATTGGAAACTACATTCATCTTTGAAGTTTTTTGGGAACGAACTTCTTTACTACAAAACACAATACTCCTTGAAGTGTTGCAGAATTCTGTTTGGATCTTTTAAAAAATACATGCCTTTTTCAAGATGCTTGCTTCAATTGGGAAATGCATTATTGTTTGAAATAAGATACAATTCCTTTTTGGGAAATGTATATAACTTTGTTTGAAAGAGTTTCTTCATTACAATCCAGATTGTTCCTTGAAGTGTTGCAGCAATCCTACTGAAAAATGCATGCCTTTTTCAAGAGGATTGATTCAATTGGGAAATGTAATATCTTGCAAAAATACTTTGATTTAGAGGTGACTGTTTCAATACCAAAGTACAGCATGTTTTTTTTGGGGGGGTTTCGTTATATCAAAATGCAAGATTACTTCACATATTTGTTACATGCACCCCTTGAGGGGTATGTAATTTATATAAATGAGAAATGAACTGAATGAAGGTGAAAAAACACATATATAAAATGAAAGATATCTTCGATTTTGTGGATAAAATATACGCTTATTTGTAATTTATGCTTAAGCATCATTTTCCAGAAAAAAAAATCTCAGGAAAAATAAGGCACAACATACAAGATTCCCTGGCATGTTTAACTTAATTTTATATGTAAAAGACTTTATACCTTAAAGTCACACCACTTGATGCATTTTTTTTCTCAGAGTTTGTGGAAATGTTCTACCTTAATTCTACTTCAATCCAATAGTTCCATGAAATATATGTAGTAGGTAAGCTTATCTGTCTTATTTCATTTCAATTCTTTGAATTGTTAATGCAAATTCTATTTTCTTTATATGTTGTATTAAGACATTGTTCATTTAAATTATTTGTGGCAACCTAATTAAATATTCTAGAAAACCTTGGAAGGTTTTAGGATCTACTTACTGTATCTTTTATAAGCATGACACCCTAAAATCTATTCAAAATCTGTGTCATTGGCGCCCCCTTTTGGAATACCAATAGATCTCATCCACAATACCAATCAAAAAAAACAGTGCAAATATCAGTACATATATATATATATATATATATTGTATTACTCTCCTGGGGCCCGGAAAACGCGCAGCGGCCATATGAGCCATGGTCAATACACTATATGGTTGATGGTCATCCCATCCATAATAAGGATCCTTATAATGGTTATAAAATAATCCCTATGAACCATTGGATGACTAGCCCCTATTAATGGTTATTGACCATGAGCATTGACCATAGCTCATATATATATATATTTAAAACAAATTACATATCTATGTATATAGTAGATATGTATGTATATGTCATATATACAAATCATGCGTTAACAAATCAAGGTACTAAGTGAATCAAACATGGTTATTTTGAACCACTTACAACTCCTGGGATGCACTTCTTTTCTCCACGCACAACTCTGAGGGCCGGACGCGACCACCGCGTCAGCTTTGGGCAACTGCAGCAAATCAGTAAAGTGTCGAAGCTGGTGGCACTTGTTCCAACAGGGGATATGGATACGCACAGCTCCGAACCGCTCAGGATACCCCGGTGATCCCAAAAAAAATACTGAAAGATTGTGGAAAAGATACCCTCTGGTAATTTGATACATAGCTATTGAAAATACCCCATTCATAATTGATTTACCTATTCAAAATGGTGATTTTCTATAGCTATGTTAGTTTACCAGAGTGTATGAGGAGTGTAGTTCAAGACCAATACCATGGCGAGGATGTGATTGGAATCCCTCAGACTTCCGTAACGAGACTGAATCGCAAAAGGGATAGGAAACGTAATGGCTTCCACTGGCTTCCATTCATCAAAGCACCAAGAAAAGCAAGATTGTGTATTCATTTGATCTGTGAATTGTGGGATCCCATCTAGTCTTGTTAGGAAGATGGTACTTTTCTGGCCTAATCTTTGACACCCATGAAACATGTGAGCCCGATGTTCCACCATGTTTGGCTCAAAACTAACCGATGACCGTGCAGGAAAGGCCCCCAAAGTTGTAAGTTGGTTTATACCCCCATCTAACTATAGATATATCATCATATATTCACCACAAATAGAAGGTGGCCTAGTTATAAATCAACTTACCCATCCTCAAATACAATGAAGATCCGAACTTGTGTTGACTAAAATCCAAAGTGTCCATAATTTTCTTGATAGTTACCCTCCTGTAAACATACAGAAAGATATGGAAAACCCAGGAAGATGTATCTAGAAATGGTGGGTAACCTCCACATCTTTCTGTATGTTTTTTCGGAGGCTAACTCCATTTTTTCCCATCGTTCCTTCTCTGGGGACCTCAAAGATCTTGGAGTATCTCTGCACTGCTTGGCCGCCAAAGCGTTTTGACCTGGTACGAGGCCTGTCCGAAAGAACCATGGTTGACTTACTGGTGCTTAGTAGGGAATGGATGGGAATGGGGGAATGGGGGAATGGGATTATTATTGATAGTTATTGTGGATCATTCCCTCATTCCCTACTAAGCACAAGTAAGTTGAAGCATTGCTGATTAAACACATGGATTTGTATACTTCATTCAGCAACTGAAATGATGAAACGTTGATTACCGTCTGGACGACCCGACATGGGGGAGGAATCATCTAACCAGTAAAGCAACAAAAAAGGGGAATTTATCATCAAAAAAAACATGGTTTAACCTCTCAGTGATGGATTTGGGATGATTTGGGTGTGTCTGAACATGGGGTGGCTCAATTTTAGTAAGGAACATGATGAGTAAAGTATGGGGGTCGATTATTTTCAGAGAAACCAAGTTTTTAGCCATCTTCAGTACTCACATTTTGTTGAGGGCTACCCCTTTCTTGAATCTCACCACACCTTTCTGCTTTTCATGTATAATGCGCAATCACAGCAGGAAGGCTCCCCAGTTATAAGTTGGTGTATAGCACCATCTAAGTGGTTTGACATAGACGTGGAAACCCGACCATAGACATAATATATATATATATACATACATATAATATAATATAATATAATATAATACAATATAATATAATAAAATATAATATAATATAATATAATATATATATAATATATATATACACATACATTTAATATAATAATATATATATATATATCATAGTATATTAGTAGAAATAACCCCAGTAGAACTTCCAAACAGTGGATTTTTCGGACCTTGAACCCTGGCTGCCGGGAGTCCAACCACTCGATTCGAAGCTTGTGTGCCTGGCTGCGCGATCGAGCGCGCCGAGGATCCCTTCAAGGGAAATTTGTGCAAAGATTGAGCTTCCAAGCCATGCCAAGATGGTGGGCCACCCGATTCTTTTGGATCATCATCATTAGTCACAATATAGTCATTATGCAGACATCATCATCATAATAATCATCATCATCATCATCGTCATCATCGTCATCGTCATCGTCATCAGCAGCAGCATCGTTTTACTAAAGAGGCACCACTGTTCAAATCAAGTGCTCCCGAGCTATTTACGATGAGTTTCAAAATTTAGGCACGACTTTAGCAGTCGACTGTATCTGGCTGATTACGATAATGTATAATTTATACCAACCGGAAAAAATAAAGAAATGGAATAGTTTCCGGAAGACGAAGCGCATCATTTCTGGTTTGCGGTTATCAGTCATCGTGAATTCGCTATAATTAACGAGTAGTACAGTAGATCCCTCCCCTGCGCCTCAATTTCGCTCATGTCCTTTGCTTTAGCCACTTCTTGCACAATGGCTTTCAGGGGCTTCCTCAGCAAGGGTGCCATTTTTTTTTGCAAGGAGTTGAGGGACATGAATCCCTCTCCAAAAAAATATGTAAGCGAAGTTTCAGCATCAAACACTGGGGTTTAACATGGTTTACCCTCTGGTAATTTAACATAGCTATTGAAAATGGCCATAGAAATAGTGGATTTTCACATTAAAAATGGTGATTTTCCATAGTTTTGTGTATGTTTACCAGAGGATATGTGGCCAAAATGATGTTCAAAACTCCCCAAAAAATGGGAGCCCAAGAGATGAGGACATCACCTTTCACCAGGTTTCCGGTGAGGGATCTGAAGATGTTGAATTTCGGAGTCCAACATTTCTGCAACACCGGAATGTGGAAAGCCTCATGGTGTGTTTTATTTATATATATATATATGTATACGTAAACATAATAATAATTATAATTATAATTATAATAAATATTATTAATAATAATAATATTAATATTAATATATATATAGATATACATATACATATCAACTATTTCCTGGCTCTTGAAGTCCATACGTACAGAAGAGGTCTAGTATCCCCCAAATCATCCGAAATCACCCATGGGGTCTGATCGATGGACATGGTGCAAGAAACAATATGTTCATAATATATAATCAAATGTACCCTCTGGTAAACCAACATAGCTATGGAAAATCACAATGTTTACACGTAAATCACCCGAAAATTTGATCATGTTCCATTGCTATGCTAGTTTACTGGAGGGTAGTTCCCTTCAACTGTCTCAATTGCAGTGTAGGAGTAATATCAGCATCTTAAGCAGTTACAAGCGTCACCGTCGAGGCAGTGGGTTTTTCTAGGCCCCAAGCGTTTCTCGGACCCATTCCAACGCGCCCAGGTCAGGCAGAAGTGGCACCACGGCGTAAGTGCGGACCCTGACAAGCAAAGAACAGCAAATGGGTCAAGAACTATCTGGGTAAATTATAGTAATTCACTAACCTGAATTAAGGCCATTTGGGGATGATTTCCCTTACTAACCATGATTCCAGTGAGGTCGCAGTGAGGTCGTTATAATTTACCCAGAACTATCCACCCCATGGATCCGAGAGCATTGTAAGGAATTCTTTGGAGTTTTGGGGAATCAAGCACAGCTTGCTGGAAAATCCACGATTCACGGATGATGACGTTTCATTATCTTTTCCATTTATATAAATGACCCACCAGATGTCAGGAATGCATAAACCTCCCAGTGCGTAGTGGTTGGGCAAAGGCGTATTCCATTTCTACATGGTATTTCCACACTAGATCCCATGCATTTTCACCCTAAATGTCATAATCATCTTGATACATTGAAATCCATTAAACCAGCCACTAAAACCAGAAGACCCATGGATTCCTACCTTTTTCTTTCAACCATAACCACCGCAGGGGCCTTAAGCCGATGGCATCGGGCGCTACCAGGCTGTTGATGATGCCAAAGAGCTGCTCCACACGTTCGTCCAGGCGGACGTCTTCGCCGCCCTTCACCAGGAACCAATGTTCGCGCTCGTCGCTGCCCAAAATCACCTGGATAAAGCCCTGGTACGTAAACGTACCATATGTTTGGCCATATTTTAGGGGTATATTTCCCTGAAATTTAGGCCTGAAAAATAGGTCTTATATATGGTAGGTACCTCCAATTTAGGTTCCTGAAATGGCAATTGAAAAGTTGGGATTGACCCAGTATGACCCAGCCAAAATGATCATTTTTGATCGGGAATAACACGAAAATCCTAAAGATTTTAACTCACGTCGTGATCATGTCGACCAGCGAGAATGGGAAGATATCAATGTCCTTTTGGTAAAAATAGAGGGGCCGGCTTCGTATACCATTTATCATCATTTACCTGTTGCTAAAGGATGCTAAAGGGGTAAACAAACCCCTCTATTAATCAACCAACCAATGGGAAAAGGACATCTATGGAAGATATGAGAAGATAGTCAACAGAGAAATGGTTGGACATGTGAAGAAATGCTGATTGAAAACAATAAAATGGATTGGACTGACCATCTATGGCTCATAGCTGCTATCGCATTTCACCTGCGATCCCAAGAAAACCAGGGCGAATCTCTTCTCTCGATTGGGACATGGGATCTTGCAGACTATAATGAGAGCAATGTGACCCATTGATTCCATGAAAATCTCCAATTTGAAACTGATGGCACAGTTCCATACACTTCCATCCTAAAATTATCTTACGAGAAAAAACATGGCAATCTCCAAGCTTGAAGTCATGGTCTCCTTCAGGAAAGGGCCTCATCCCCCCTTGTAAGTCGGTATCTAAACCCATATAGACATATATATATATATCTAAAAAATGTCAGGTACTCTAGTGATACAACAACTTACCTAGTGTACAACTATAATTCCTAATTTTTGACTCTCCGGTAATCAAACATAGCAACAACATGTTTGTTCATTTACACATGATGTTCCAATTAAAAGCCTCATGTTTCGAGGGATTTCCCAGCTACCTTTGAGATGGTAAAATCATGATCCCAAATGTATCCAAATGTTACCCTCTGGTAAACTAACGTAACTATGGGAAATCACCATTTTCAATGGGAAAATCCACTTATAAATGGTCCATTTTCAATAGCTATGTTAATTACCAAATGTTAAATCCATCTCACATCTTAACTATAGATACTAAAATCCCTTCGAGATGGTAACTAGAGAGTTGATTGATCTGGGTAAAGGCCATAATATTTCACTCACCTGAATAGTTCGGCCATGGCTGGGGATGATTCCCCTAACATAAACCATGATTTCCAGGGTTCGGTCGCAGTGAGGTCGTGATGAAATTTACCCAGATATATGTATACTTATAAACCAGTATATACCAGCTCCCCTTGAATTTGAAGTATTCTTCTTCCAGCTGAAAATTCGTAAGAATCCGGGTGAAAAGTTCTTCTTGCCTAAAATTTGTACAAATCCGGGGGGAAAGTTCTTCTTGCACAATTTCTCCGGGTTGTCTCTTTTTCTTGCGTTGCCCCACCATGTCATAGGAAGTGAAGCAATCCTCGCGAGTACATGGGTGAATAGCATCACAAAGCGTCTATCAGGTATCGCCATGTGAGCAGAACATCTAGAAAAACGTAGCAGGCCATTTCAGCATAACAAATGATTCATTCTGCATCCTTCCCACTGCTTGTTTGTACCGGCTCTTGGAAGCAAACCTGGTTGTCATTGGCCAGCTGAGCCTAAACATTGCCTCCAGAAAGCAAAATACCATCCCGCTTGAGCTCAAGCTAGCAGACCGTGCTCGGCTGTGTGCAAAACGTATGAAAAACTGTTATTCAACCCGACGCCATGTCACAGGAATGCATAAAAGTGGAAAAACGATCCAAGTAGGAAACAAAAAACATAATGGCTTGCGTTAGTTTTTCCTCAATTCTTCATCCAACTCCTGCTTTTCTTGTTCTAATTCTCTGCGCCAACTCCGGCTTTCTCCGCGCCAACTCCGGCTTTCTCCGCGTTTAGTCCGGTGTCAAAGTTTCTCCGGGTTTTCCCCCCGAAAAACATTTAGTAGGATTCTTGTCCTGCTAGGCAGTATTTCAACACCAGTGGGCAGGATTCTTCTAATTTCTCGGGGCTGCATGCTGCTACACAATTCACCAATAAGGTCCACAAAGATATCTTGGGATCAAATGAATGGAAAGCCGGTTGGAAACACAGATTTCCATCGTGGAGCCAGCTTTGAACCTCGAACCCAATCACATGCCTCTGCTAAATTCGCCTCCAGCCACTGGTCATTCCAGGGGGCAGATTGAAAGATCTCAGGCACTTTCAAACTGCGATCCACACTAGGGCTGCTATCCGTCCTTACCGCCAAGAGCGGGCAAATCATCTGGATGTGAAGACCGAATTGTAGAAACGGGCGTAGCTTGCTGCAGTAGCGGCCAAGAAGTTTGCAGCAGCGCCCAAGATGTTCGCAGCTGCGTGCGCATCTACAGCGCGACAGCTGTCGTGGCAAGAATTTGCTAAACCCAAAATGGCTGCGCAATTGGTAGATCCGCGCCAGAAACAGGCCTCCGGCCTCCAAACAGGATTCTTCCGCCAACAGAACAATTCTCGCGATGGATGGAAAAAGGTACCTTTTCTTCAAAAAGGTACCTTTCCTAGGTGTTTCCGGGTGCCTGGTATATATATATATATTATATTATATTATATTATATTATATTATATATATTATATATATGGTTATATAATGTTATATGGTGATATATAATGGATTGATGCTTACTGGCGTCCCGGACCAGGCGTTTTGGCATCTGCTTGGAGGCCATGATCAGGAGCTGACCAAAACTCGATGTAAAAAACACGTTTCAACCAGAAAAAAAAACGTCGATTTAAGCAATGTGAAATGGGATAACATGGGCTAAGCCATGCTAAACCAACACATTTTTTATTTTTTTGGGGATTTAACCACATTTAACTCACATTTGACCAATGAATAGTAACATTTCATTGGGTTGGTTTCACGGAACATCTACAACTAAGCAGCTTTTAACACCAAATATACTGTAAGTTTCCCTGCAAGGTTTCTCAACCAGTTCTGGAAGATTTCTCTGATGAATAGAAAAAAACAACCAAGTGATTGGGATTTGCCACCATTGCACCATTTCATGGGGATGTCATGGGTAAACAAAAGCACCAAAAAAAAGGATACCCTCCGGTAAACTCACAGTTTGCTATGGAAAATCATTATCTTTAATAGGTAAATCAACTACAAATGGGCCATTTTCAATAGCCATGTCAAATTACCAGAGGGTACGTCTGAAATGGTGGAGACGTTTCCCAAGTTTTGTCCTTTGGGGAACAAAAGGGCTGAGATCTCTCAGAAGGTGGGGCCAGCAGCAACTTAGCAGGGGGACCACACCTTGATCTGGCGATATAAACATGGCAATCTTCATCATCCATGGTATTCTGAAAAAGCACAGATTCTAAATGATTCTAAAATATTCTAAACTACCTCCTGGTTAATGATGTTAATGTAGCGAACTGGAGAATCAACATGTTTAACTTCGGCAAATCATGAAAAATAAACATCAGGCATGTCCCAAAGCTACGTTAAATAACTAGAAGGTCAACTCCATAGTTATACAACATTATCTGGTTGGTGGTTGAGCCCTACCCCTCTGAAAAATATGAGTTCGTCAGTTGGGATTATGAACTTCCCAACTGAATGGAAAGTCATAATCCAAATGTTCCAAAGCACCAACCAGATATTAACCATTATGAACCATTATTAACCATTATTATTAACCATTATTATTAACCATTATTATTAACCATTATAAAACCATCATTAAACATCATTAAACATCAGTTATGTAACCATTCCAGTCACCACCAACCAGTTATGTAACCAATACAACCACTGCTCCTTTCACGGATTTTGTGGATTCACTGTGGGTCCCATCGATCAACAAATGATCAAAGTACTGATATGTATTGATAATCGATGATCATTGTATTGTTGATCATTATATATAGCTATTTTATGTTTACTGATAATTGATGATAGTTGATGATAATTGATGATAATTAATGATAATTGATGATATTTGATGATCATTGATGATAATTGTGCCTATAGATCCATAAAAATCTACTTGAATATCTATATCAATGCTACTGTTCTGAATCGGGATTGTACTATGCACCTCTTGGTGGTTTGAGCATACCGCCGGTGCCAACGCGTCACAACGCACCTGAGACCCAAAGCGTGTGATCCGTGCGTGCGCGAGCGGTTCCGGGCAACGTAGGCCCCTGGCCGTCACAAGCTAAAGATGGGAAGCTAACGTTTCAACAGGGGTTACACGGTTGCACCAAACACTTTGGGATCTTAATCAACTGGGCTTTGCTTTATGCTTGAGCCATCCGGTCAAAGATATCCTCCATTTCTTGCTTGTTTTAGCTTGCCAAATAACACGGCATGTTGATCAGTTCTTACTTCAACAAAGCAACCTTTCTTTAAGTGTTTTTTGGTCGCTTCTGCCCTCCGTTTATGGTTACAATCGATTTCCAAAAGAAGTCGCCTTGTTGTCATCATCATTATTTTCATCCATGATTTCATCATGATTATTGATTGTCATCAGCATCATAAGTTCATTCGATTTAAATGTCAAGCAAAAAAAATCTTCTCCTCGACATTCCGCTGCCCTGAAACTCGTCCAATCCACAGTACTTGTTTGCGCACGATGTTTCGGCGAAAGCTTTGCCACCAAGTTGTCTCGGTGGGGATCAGATCACAAACAAGATTGGATTTACTGCGCTCAGGGGAGACCATTCGCGTACTCAAGACACATTCTCGAAAAACGCTCGAGAGTTGCTGAATCTGCTGGAGGATTAGAATAAGCCGCATTGCACCAGCCCATGAACTTTTGGTGGATCTCTGCCTTTCGGGTGTTGCTCTGAGCACTGGAGTACAGCTCAATGCAACTGGTGCATACCATATGCAATACCTGCAAATGCGGCACCGACGTTGACGCCTGTCAAAGTAACATCCATGAAGCACCAGCACACTGTGCATTGTGCCATCAAAACCATGGCAAAAACACCTCCGACTCCGGAAAACAACAAAGCCATGGCAAAAAGGAAAACAAATGATATGAAGGCAGCAGTTTCAGCAACTTCACAGATGAGAGTTTTTGAATATTGCTGGGATGGGGTCGGAACTTGGAGAGGATGGACTGATTACAGTACTTCAGAAAATATCAACAAACCATTTTCTGAGCAAATCACCAACCTAAAACCCTCCCATACAACACAACTGCAGCAACAACTATCCCCCTCATCCAACCAAACATCAATAGAAAATTAGGGGTAAATAATCCCCAGAACCAACACCAACACCTGAAACCTTGAACATCAACATAAAATCATGAGAACCAACCTACTAACATACACTCCCCAGAATTCCCACTTTTCCCCTTTTAACACCACATGATGTGAATAAGCCCTTGGTAGTAGTGGCTGGTGATGGTTGATAAGCCCGCAATCAAATTGTGCGGATCACCTTGGGAAGAAGTTCGCTGAAACCCACCGTATTGCTCAGCAACGTTGGCTATATATCCCACCATTTCACAATTATATCCCATGTTTTTTCCCATTAAATTTCCATATTTGTTGGTAAAATCCTAGTTTTTTTCCCACGCATCCAAGTATCACGTCAAGACTTATCAAGTTACTTTTATCAGTTTTATATCATTTGTTATATCCCATCAAATATGCCATCAAATAAACATATATCCCATATTATATTATTATATCCCATATCATTATATCCCATGTATATATATATATGTATATATATTCCATAGGATCCATGTATGGTATATATGCTAACATTTGGGGTATATTGATGGTAAATGTTACCATATATAGCATACATGGATCCTATGGGTATATTATTATAAGTTACTTTTATTCAATATCCCATATTACAGGTCTACGTTTTAGCTAGGGTGTCAGCTGTCGCGCACCTGTATTGTCCCAAGACCTCCAGCTGCTCCTGCGCAATGGAAAAACCAAGCAACCAAGGGATTCACAGGCGATTCACCCAGCAAAAATGCTGGGAAAATGCTGGGATTTAAATGGCAAAAATGGTGGGAAAAGTAGGATTTACATGGATTTAACATGGGTGTATATATATATATACACTATATATTATATACAACTGATTTGTACTAGGTGTCAGTTGGTCCTTTTCGTAGGTTCCCTGTTGGATTTCATGTGGATATATCGAACTGGTTCGGTAGGGTTATAAACCAACTTCGAACCGGGAAGCCCTTCCTGTGCAAGGACTAAAGGTTTATTTTAGGATGAAAACTTGACAAAGTGTTCCAGGGACCATGGTTGGCTTCTATCTTCAACTTTGGAATAATTTCAGACAAATCAATCATATTACCCTCTGGTAATTTAACATAGCTATTGAAAATGGCCATAGAAATAGTGAGTTTTCCCATTAAAAATGGTGGATCTTTCCATAGTTATGTAAACGTTTACCAGAGGGTAATCATATTAGAACACTTGAAGAGTATCCCACTATCACCTTTAATTATCTGGGACTCCGAGGGAGACGTGATGTCTTACGAATGATTTGCTTGCTCGTTTTGAATGATTTCAACGGGTGTTTTTGTGCACAACCGTGAAGTCTCAGTCACTGTGACACGGACACAAAACATGCACATCACCATAACAAAACTCAAGTTTTTGCAGTGTTCAAATCACACTGGCTGGCTAAGAATGGGATTTCCATTTCATGGATAATTATCCCAATACACTAATGAATACATTGGATAGGAGTTTACTCAGAACAAAGCCGGAAACCAAGCACCATTGGTCAATGAGATTTCCATATTTTTGATGGTCAACAGGGTCTGATGGTGAAGTCCCCGTTGACCAAGCTACAAAAAACTACAAGGTGGCCGCCTAAGTTTCCAAGACCCATGCAACTATAAAATAGTATGAAAATAAAGGGGGAAAATTCTGGGTCTCATAAATGTTGCCTTGAAGGATTTTTTTGTGGTCTCAAGTGTCAGCTTTCCCAAAACATCAGAGCTATGATAAATCAAATCTGGTTGGTGGTTGAGCCCTACCCCTCTGAAAAATGATGGAGTTCGTCAGTTGGGAGGATGACATTCCCAATATATGGAAAAATAAGCCACATGTTCCAAAGCACCAACCAGGTATGATTATAGCTATACAATATCCATCATAAACCCTAGTTAAGCTATGTTAACCTGGTTGGTTGGGTTTAGCCACATCCCCCGCAGCCCCAACAACCGCACCTCAACCCCCAACCACGAGCCACGCGCATCGAACTTGGACAACCAGGGTGAGAAGGCTTCGATGGGCGCCTGAAGTCTCATCAGACTTTGAGATATGTCTTTTCAAAGTGAGGGCAACACCCCAAAATCTCATGTTTCTTGTAAACAATGGTCATTCTGCGTTTTTTAGACACACCGATTTATTGGAGGTATGTTGTATGGTCATGATTCATGATTGATATTGTTTGAAGGAACAAGTAAAGTTGACGTTGGATTGAAACCAAGTTCAGATGGTGACTTATGAGACTTGCCAGTGTCCGAATGACCATACGCTCACACAGGCTAAAGTCTATAATCGAAAACTGCGAGGTTGGATCTCATGCCTTTTGACTTTGATCCTAGAAATTCAATGCCTGCGAAGCATCAAGCTGATTCAGGCTTGATAAGTTTGTGTTTATTGCTGCACAAAGCCATTTATGACGACTCTTTACAGTGTTTTTTGTTGTTTTCCTCCTGCACCAAAGTCGACATATTTCTGTCCCCTTGTTTCTGCTAGCTGTAAATCCGCCTTTGTCTGTACCTGTCTGAAAATGTCAGTCTGCATCATTTCTTCTACCCGATAATCAGTTGAATCTCAAACCATGGCTGATCTATCCTCGGATAGTCAAACATGGTAATGGACAATGACCCATTAGATATTTATAATATGTGTAATGTATACAGAGGTTAATGTATTATTTTCCATTCAAACCTCGATTTTGATCGATGTTTGATGACAGCGAAGGCTATCCAACCTTATCCCCATTAATTAATTTCACTTTAGATCTCCATTTAATGTTAAATCCTCAGTTTTGATGGTTCTCCACCTACAGTATCTATACACATCTTGCCCAGAAAGGTGCCCCACATATGATGCGACAAGAATGGTGGAAATCATTCCGTCCACCTATCCATCATTATGTGGAGCTACAAGTGGGCTATAACCATTGGTATAAACCCCCCACAAGTTACCCTCTGGTAATTTAACATAGCTATTGGAAATGCTCATTTATAGTGGATTTTCCCATTAAAAATGGTGATTTTCCATAGCTATGTTAATTTACCAGAGGGTACCCCCTAATAACTGCGGTCCTGGGATAAAAAATAACAGTTCACTGACCTGAAATCTTGGCTGTTTTGACATAGTTACCCCAAAGCGAAGCATCATTCCAGGCTTCGGTCGCCGTGAGGACGTTATGATTTATCCAGATTGCTATATATATATATGTGTAAAAAATATATATATATATAATATACGTATATATATATATTATATATATATTATATATACGGTATACGTATATTATACGTACTTATATTGGGATATACCCCCCCTATAACAATCCTTCTATACAACACCACTTATTCGTGGAACTGCAGCCCCTTCTCTTTTGATTTGAGTGAAATCTCCCTTTGAAATCAGTGAAATCTCCCAAATAAATAGCACATAGAAAATCATAGAAAGCAAAACAAATCCACCCACAATCCTCCTACCCTCCTGTAAACATACAAAAAGCGAACTGGAAAATGGCCATAGAAATAGTGAGTTTTCCCATTATAAAAACGGTGGATCTTTCCATGGTTTTTTGTATGTTTACCAGAGGCTACTGGAAAGGCACCTCGCAGAAAAAATGCCGCGCCTTGCGATTCGGCCATTGCTTGGTGGAGGGCAACTGTTGCATCTCCTGCAGGAACTTGATCCACACCTGGAGCTGCCGCGCGCTGGGCAGGGAGCTGCATATTTTTCCCCTGAAATTTCCCGGCCTGGTAAACTAACATATATAGCTATTGAAAATGGGGATTTATAGTGGAATTACACATTGAAAATGGTGATTTTCCATAGGGCATTTTCCATGGCGATGTTAAACTAGCGGACATGAAAATTGGTTCTTAAGGTTTATATCCTGAATAGTCATGAGTGGGTGTGCCTGCCCTAAAATTTACCATGTGCATTGGAAAATTAGGTTTTAAACCTAAATTTTAAGCCCATGGATTTTTGATTGAGGGTTCCCTATTCTCAAAACCAAATACCCTCTGGCAAATTGACATAGACCCTGAAAATCACCAATCTTTAGAGGAAACTAATCTTTCAACCCCGACAACTGGCAGGGTCTATGTTAATTTACTGGAGGGTATCTCCTCAATATGTCCGCTTGAAAACGGTTCTTCGGTAGACAGATACTCAGCGTATGGGTTGCATGATCATCCCCAAGCTGTGGAAGAATAGCAAGTAAAGCAAGTAAATAGCAACCATGACATATATATACATATGTATATCTATGTATCTATATATTAATATATATATGTATCTATGTATATCTATGTATATATATATGTAGATCTCTTAAACTTCATTGCCCATGTTCAGCAAAAAAAACACGACCATTCCTCAATTTGTACAGAAATGAGGCATTGAGCCCCATTCACCAAGCTTTACCCAGATGTGAAGTGACGCATAGTGACGCCTCCCGCTTGCCGGGTAGCAGGTCGGCGTCCCTCAGTTCGCCGGCGACCACTAAGCCCAGCTTTCGTGCAAGTTCCTGGGACTGATTCTGCAAAGCATGTTGCAACCTGAAGGTATTTGACCCAAGACAATCACTGGTTGGTGGTTGAGCCCTACCCCTGAAAAATGATGGAGTGAAAGTCAGTTGGGATGATGAAAAAAACCCAACTGAATGGGAAAAATACTCCAAATGTTCCAAACCACCAAACAGATCAGTGAACATCTCAACTATTTGTGATAATTAAAAATGGTGTGTTCCATTATCAACTATGTCTGATATTTTTTGTGTGTCTGAAAAATGTGGTAGACCCCGATGGTCTTTTTACCCTCTGGTAAACTAACATAGCTATTGAACATGGCCATTTTACAGCTGGGTAAATCCACTATAAATCACCATTTTTCAATAGCAAACTGTTAGTCATTACCACAGGGTATATTTCATTGACCATTAACCATAGATTATCCATATATTAACCATAGATTATCCATAGTGTACCAGGCCGGGTAAATAAGGAGAACGTTGATCATTCACTGTTATGATTCGCCTACACATCGGAGCAACCCCACCGAAAGGCCGCCATGGTGGAAGGGGCCATGGTATATCGGGTATGGTCATCCATGCCATGAAATGCTGGTAATCCAAACAGAATGGGTACATAAAGTTCTATGAAAATTGGAGTGAATAGACTGGTAAATCAAATTATATCATTATATCATCCAACGGTTTATTGGTAATATATCTCATCAAATCCAATTGAATTAGCCTCTGGTTATTTAACATAGCCATGGAACATGGCCCATAGAAATAGATGGTTTACCTATTAAAAATGGTGATTTTCCATGGCAACGTTAAATAACCACAGGGTATTTGACCATGGCTGAAACTGCTTGCGGGTCAAAACTTCCAAAAGGGGCCGTGGGTCCTCACTGAAGAGGAGACCCGCAACACGAACCAGTCCGAATTGTTGAATTCTCGGGGGAATATGACACGTTCCGAATTGCTTTTGGAAGGATATCTTGAAAAAAATCTATCTTCATATGGAACATTCCCTGAATTTTCGAACTCTATTTTAAGATTTTAAAGATATTCCAGCATGTTTGGCTAAAAATTGCATGTTTAAACTGAAACCATTTGCCAGCGGAATGACCAGTCGCCAAAAACAACCATTCGCCATCACCCGATCCCTCCGGATCCCTTCGATGGTCTTGACTCACCCCAGGGGGAATGTTTCGGAAAATTACACCATGTTGTTTGTACCATCTGGCTATATTTGACAGTTCGCCATGGACAATCACCATGCTATTAATAGGATTTAATAGGTAAACCATCTATAAATGAACCGTTTTCCATGGCCATGTTAGTCATAACCAGAGGGTAATTGTTTCCATTAAAACAGCATGAAATGGATCGTATGGATTGGAGACCCAACAAAAAAGGGAAATTGATTTGCAACTGCAATCATTCACAATGAACAGAAGAATATGGTGGATATAAACTACACCCTCTGGTTATGTCAAAATAGCTATTGAAAATGGCCCATTTATAGTGAGTTTTCCGATTAAAAATTGTGATTTTCCATAGTTTTTTGTATGTTTACCAGAGGGTATAAACTACACCAACTGTCCTGCATCTTCACTTTGACGCGCTGTCCAAAGTCCACATGAACCATCCCTGCGAGATCTTGCAGCTCCACCTCTGGCCCAGGCGCCGCGCAGAAACGATGGGAGAAGGGGAGGTTTCGGAACCGAAAAAGGAAACACGTCGCTGGTGTTTTTCTACATATCGCTGGATAAAAGGTTATCGGTTATGGGAAAGTCATGATGGTTGATTGAAACATAGTGAATATCATCATCATAGTGAAATATGGTCGGTATATTTTTCATGATAGATACCCTCTGGCAATCAAACGTGGCAATTGAACATCCACCATTTATAGACGCGTTTCCCATTCAAACTTCCATTCCCAGTGGATGTCCCACAGTGATATTTTCCCAGAGTTTCTGAGGGGTTTTCCAGCTGGCAGCTAGCCATGTTTGATTACCGGACAGTCCTGGGGATGAAAGAATAGCTACTAATGGTACCCTCGTTCCCACTAGACACCCCCCGATACCATGCTTTAAACGGGACATAGTAAAACCCCTACATAGAATAGGGGTGTAACATGGGGTACCTAATGTTGGAAGGATGGGATGAACTTGTTTGTTGCCATCCAACCTATCCAACCTGTGTTTCCATGAATCTATTAGAATTTGATTGAGCTACACTCTGGTATTGACTAACATAGCTATTGAAAATGGCCATCTATAGTTGATTTCTCTATCAAAAATTGTGATTTTCCATAGTTAATTATGTTAGTTTACCAGAGGCTAGCCCAAATCCTCGAATGACTGATTCCACATCCCCTATTCTTGAACCCATGTAGATAGACATGTGGCCTCCACATGCTTGCGCCAGAGTCTTCTCCATCTTTCCTGCCGCTGCGACTTATGCTCCTTCGTTGGGCTTCCATATTGAGTTTAGGTGGTGTAAACAACCTGCTTATCGACAGCTTCCTCTTGTAGTTCATTCTTATTTCATCGCCACTTCAGGTGATCAAATGAAAAGAAAAGGGGGAAGTTTGAACCCATTTACACTGAGATTTAATCTGGTACTGGGAAATCTGCAATTTCAACCCCAATTTTGTGGATGATGTTCTTCCATCTTTCCATTCAAAATAGGGATGTTCCACTTCCATCTCAGATGTTCAGGTGGGAGCTGCCCTGTCCAGGTCACTTGAAGGTCGCTATGACACCACTTACCACCTGCAAAAAAAACCACCACCAGATGTTGCGAATGACCATGAATTTCTCATCAATCCATTCCAAAACTCTTAGTGAATTGGGTTTATCATCACGTTTCATGAATAAACATCCAATTACAAAGACATCTCAAAATTATGGTACTGCAAAAGATTGAGGATGCTTGAAATATCAGACTAGCCAGCCAAGAGTTTACCAGAGATGGTAAAATCCCAAGTTTAATGATGGTGATGAAGTGCCGATCGGGTAAATGCTTAAATCCCATACCTGTCTATATGTTACCATGTATGAGTGTCACACCATATATGTTCATAAATTGCCAGCAACTTGTTGAAACACTTCCAAAGGTGGGAAAAAAGGACTTATATGATATTATAACTATCTAACACTATATATATGTATATATATATATATGTATATATATATGTATATATATATATATATATCACTGAAAATGGACAAATATCCAACACATAGTTGACCTATTGCCACTCCCATACTGGAAAGTAGGGAAGATGGGAATGAAAGTCCCATTGGTCCCATCAGGCCCCCAAATTTTCCTGGGATCCCTATGAAGTATCGATATATCTACCATAAACCCTAGATTTTTACATCTTGTCAAATACATAAAGATGTAATTGCTCTAATTGATATAACATACTCGTAATTAGTTATATATATAATGTTATATATTCTAGTGTAATATATATATATATTATTGTATGTGTATATATATATATACCAAACATTATAATTATCCACTGATAATCCCCTAAGATCCCACAAGTTCAAACCTTTCACCATACACCATACGCCCTGCACCTTCGCCCTAGCAGCGTCTTGCGCCAAGAACGCCTCCCGGAAGCCACGAAGCCTCACAGGAAGCAGTGCGACCAGTGTGACCAGTGTGACCGCCGTCTTAAAAAAAGGGATTGAAACGGCAAGCAAATATGCTAGATAGATCTAAATACTGGATTTCAAGAAAGTCCCAGATGCTGTATGGTGCTGGAATATTTACCTACAAAACTGGTTGATGTTTGGGGTAAATGTAGGTAAATATTCCAGCACCATGGAGCATTTAATTCAGTAGTAAACACGTCTTCAATAATGGGACCATCCCCAGCACGCAGATTCACCGGTCCACCGAACGATCAATTGATTAGTAGGGCTTCCGAACAGCCAAGGTTTCCCCAAAACGATGGAAAGTTGTGGTGATCAAATGTGCCATCCAGGTACTCCTAGGGAGTCCTGAGAATGGACACTTAAGAACTAATGATGTTGTCATCTACGGCAGGCAAATTATTGTTCTATATTGTTCTATCATTTCTGGGTGGTGCTATGATATAACTGAAAACCTCTATATATATCCCCAGAATATCCTCATTACATCCCCATTGTGTCCCCATTATACCATCATGGTCCCATGGTTGATGCTTCGATGCTTATATGAGCCATGGTCAATACTCACTATATGGTTGATGGTCATCCCATCCATAATAAGGATCCTTATAATGGTTATTATAAATCCCTATGAACCATTGGATGACTAGCCCCTATTAATGGTTATTAACCATGAGTACTGACCATAGCTCATATCATCTCTAAGCCTTGGGTGACATGCTATGACCATGACAAAAAAAAAGGCCGAAAGGCACCCCATTTTTCTCGGACGGAGCAGAGGTGAGCCGTAGGATATACTTAGTGGTTAAGTAGGGGATGTAGGGGACATAACTACAATGTGAGGCCCCCCAGTTATAAGTTGGTTTATAAGCCCCAGTAACTATAGTTATAAGTATCATAAACCATAGTTATTGGAGTTATAAACCAACTTAGCTATCGAACGGGGGCCTCACATTGTATAGTATGTGCGGGGCTTTGAAAAAAATGACATAACTAGGGGCCATACCTTGTATGGATCAGGACCTATAATACATGTTTTTGGGAAATGAACATCGATTTACCAGCTAGCTTCACCATCCCTGTATGGTTACCTGGAACCAGCTGTGATCCAGCTGTTTTCTTGGTTGCAGTTCGCACGCGCTGAATCAAAGAGCTCTTGTTTTGCAAACTATACTACTCTTTGGCAGCGGCACTAATCTTGCATTTTACCATCTGGTTATTTAACATAGCCATGGAAAATCTCTTATCAATGGAGGTGTCAAACGCTGGGAAAATCATCTATTTCTATGGGCCATCTATACCATGGCTATGTTAGTCATAACCAGAGGGTACTATTGAATGTTGACCGGATGAACATCGGACATTTTCACGCTTGCCACAACTGTATACCCCCAAAAGAGACCTGTTGACATGTTGATCGCTTCGGGATCCTGAACGATCCAAGCCACAAAAAAAACACACCAATACACTATCTTTTGTAAATGTTGACACCACTCACCACTACTCGGAATTGCATCCGAATGACTAACTGGGCAATAACTATATTACAAGCCAGCTAATGATAGTATAGATATGTAAAGATATCCCACCAATACATGGCTTATTAAGGCTTACCCTCTGGTAAACTAACATAGCAATGGAAAGATCCACCATTTTTAATGGGAAAACTCACTATAAATGGCCATTTTCCATAGCTATGTTAGTCATTACCAGAGGGTATTCATCACTTACGAGACCTGGGATGCCGCCGAAAAAACATCCGGCCGCATCCCATCAGATCTGAGTGGCCGAACTCAGCAGGAAGACTCTTCTCTGGATGTGTCAAGCCTGGATATCAATTCCCAAGGGCTCAAAATTGAGATGGGGATGGGTCAAAACCCTGGTACCCCTGGTGAACATCAAAATAGCTGGTAAATGGATGTTCATCCCACTAAAAATGTATCTATTTTCAAGTAGTTATCTACCCTCTGGTAATTTAACGTAGCTATTGAAAATTGCTATTTATAGTGGATTTTCCCATTAAAAATGGTGGTTTTCCATAGTTATGTTAAATTACCAGAGGGTAAGTCTGGGCAGTATGGGGATAAATAATAGAGTGATTTCATAAAGAGCGTAACATAATTGAGTAATTGATTGGGGATATGGGTGATTTATATGTAGTATACTCAACTATAGAGTCTAGAGTGTGGTAAATACATATAGAGTATACTGTAATGAAGTACCAAAGTTCCAAAATCCATCAATCACCGCATTTCGGGAGTTTCGGGATGGGACAAACACCAACTGTATGATTCATATCATTAAAAATATCACTCTTCCAGTACTATCTAAAATTGACCAATCCTATTATTCCACATTATTCCCAAATATGATTGGAAAGATCAATGGCCATTTCAGGAACCTAAATTGGAGGTACCTACCATATGTAAGGCCTATTTTTTCAGGCCTAAATTTCAGGGAATATCCCCACAAAATATGGCCAAACATATGGTACTAACGTACCTCCAATTTAGGATCCTGAAATTCCCATTGAATATTGGTATAATATTATAAAATATAACATTATCACCAATAATTACCACATTATATCATCACTGTACTATTTAAAATTGACCAATCCTATTACAGTATTCCACATTATGCCCAAATATGATTATATAAATTATATATGAATCATCATCCACCAGCGGCACTGAGGGTACCATCTCCGAGCGACGGTCCAAGGCTTTGGTAAAGGTCATGGCTGTCTGTACGGGTGCCTGAAGGCGATTCGGCTCAACCAGAACCGTGGGGATTTTTTGAGCAACCAGGGGCTGCCGTGGGGGTAAACTACCCTCTGGTAATGACTAACATAACTATGGAAAGATCCACCATTTGTCATGGGAAATTTCACTATAAATGGTGATTTTCCATAGTTATGTTAGTTGACCAGAGGGTAGTAGATATGAGGGGAGAATGGTGGAGTTGATCCAACAAAGAAGGTGGTTTCAGATCGAAAGCAAGGATTTAAACACCAAAAACAGGGATTCGGGAAAGACAAAATTGATATGCGTTAGTTCAAACACTGGAAAATACCACAATTTATGGCATATGGTTTTAAGATATTTTCAGCGAGAAACTGATGATCAACAAGGATAAAACACTGGACCTTAGGGGTATATGGGGGACATGGGGCATGATTGATCCTCGGTTAGCATCGATAAACTTGGCAAACATGGTAAAAGGATGTAAAAGGAAAATGGTAGCAACCACCATACACCAAGTGCCCACAATGCGAGGCCCCCCAGTTATAAGTTGGTTTATAAGCCCCAGTAACTATAGTTATAAGTATAATAAACCATAGTTATTGGAGTTATAAACCAACTTAGCTATCGAACGGGGCCTCACATTGCAGAGTTTGTTTCGGTTGCGGAGACTTGTTCACCAGGTTGTTAAGCCATCGCTTAAAAGGTGCAATGATGATAGGTTGGCCCAGACACCAGGTCCTGCTTTTTTCTTTCAGCAAAATGCGTGAATACTTTGAAGGTGCATCATAAAATACCCTAAGGATCCAAATCCTTCAAATGTAGGTGCTTTCAAACTGAGGCCCCGCTCAGAAAATACTTTCGTTTTAATCACTGCACAATTGTTCTTTCTGAGTTTAAGGGAATATATTTCCAACACCAAAACATCTTGGGGCTTGGAACTCGGCTGGAAATTTGCTCAAGTTGCAATGAGGTCGTGCTTCCAGGTAACAAAAAAGTTTGATAATAATCTGGGGATGTATATGTTTATTTTTCTTTGGGGTTGATCACATGGGGAACTATATTTGGGGATTGAAGGAATTCCTATCATATATTATTTATTTTTGTGCATATGGCCAAATTATTTAGGGTGACCTGTGCTGCCCAAAAGGCTCCTGATTTTTTGGGGCATTGACACTGCTGGTACCTGCCACGATGAAATTTCCCAAATTAACTGGTGTATGTCCCCATTATTTAAGAACAATTTGAAGTAATAATGGGGGTATTTTGTTGGGGGACATAATGCCGGCAGTTGAATGCACTTGGCTGATGGTGCTGGGTTTGGGGGGCCAAAAATCGGTTCAAACAAATGGCCTGAGATGGCTTGAGGTTTCACCGCAAGATATACTGAATACGATTATAGATTAGTTGCTACATACATACATAAATAAATAAATATATACATATAATATATATATTTATATAAATACATATATGTATGAATAAAATTGGATATATATAAATATATATCTAAAAAGATAAATAAACATGTTTGACTCAATCTCCCGAATGGGAGCTGCAAAAAAACACCAGTCCAGACCAGCAAAACTGAAGTTGATTCACAGAGCAGGCCAAGCTGATGTTGTAGCCCTTCTTCCGCGAAGGCTTTCAGCATATCAAGACATGAGGCTGAAACCTCTGGCAGGTTTTCGAAATTGCCAGCTTTCAAGCCATACTGTGCCATACCGCTCGTGGCCGCGAAGGTGTGTCGCAAGAGCTCGACAGGTTCCTCACTAGCCGGACCAGCCGACCTTTATGCTGCCGCTCTTCTGGCTGATGATGCCATGCGACCCACGCTTTGTCTGGAATGCTGCAAACCAAGTGCATGCTAATTTGGCATGCATCTGCGCTTTAGGTGAGGGGAAAATATATCCTGAGGTAGATAGCTTATTACATGTTTGGATGGTTAACCACGAAATTAGGGTGGGGAACTTCTACCTTAATTAGGATGGTGAAATATAAGTATATAAATAATATATATATATATATATATATTATGTATATATCTCTATAAATATATATATATATGTATTTAATTCATGTATCTATCTATAAATATTGATATATATATATATATATATGCATATGCGTAAATAAATCAACATACCATTCTATATGGGAATATTATGTATATATATATATATATGGGAATAAATTAATGTATAAGATGTAGCTTTGTATTTATTTGCTGGTCCCGGAGAGACCCCCAAAAAACTTGGCTATTTCCTTCAGGCCTAATTCAGGTCAATTTGCATTAAATGCACCTGTTGGACGACTTGAAGCCAAAAATGCAATGAAATGGGGGATATGCACTCACACAAAACAATATATCGTAACCCAAATTGACATTTGAGGTATTTTGGGTTCCCAAATATTAATATTTTGGGGATATACAACCACCCAACACAATTCAACTAATAAAATATATTGCCTTTGTTTGACCATGTCTTCAAGCTTCAAACCAAAATCTAAATTAGCCAATCCACGAAGCATGAAGACATGTTCAAAAACAAATGCATTTTCACCTAGGGACAGCAGGCTGTCTCCCTAACCGAGGCTTTTGCCTTCGCCATAGGGTACACCACCCCAAGTGAACCCAACAACAAATGGCTTCGGGCAAAAACTGCAATAAATTTTGTGAAAAAAAAAGTGTGTTTTCGGAAATCCAAATTTAACGAATTTAACGCTGTAAAGTTTGCTATCACGGCTTTTAACGGTTTTTAACGCTAATTTAACGCGTGGTCCCGTAACCCATAATGAGCCACCAAATCGAAATTGTGGGTATCGTGCACCAGAAAACGAAATTCGTGGGCTAGATTTCTCGAATTTTGCCAGGTTTCGTACAGGAATTGCCTCGGATTTCACAGATTCGTGGCACGAAGAAAATATGTGACAATTTCGTGGTATTTCGTTGCAAATCACAATTTAATTGGATTTTTTTCTGGCTTCAAGTCGTCCAACAGCTGCATTTAATGCAAATTGGCCTGAATTAGGTCTGAAGGAAACAGCCAAGTTTTTTTTGGGGTCTCTCCTGGACCAGTCAATAAATACAAAGCTACATCTTATACATTAACTTAGTCCCATATATAAAAAAATATTCCCACTTATTCCCATATATAAAAAATATTCCCATATAATAATATGTTGATTTATTTATATTGATTAATCTTTATATATTTAAAATATATAAATGAATTAAATGAATATATATACATATATAAGGTAGAAGTTCCCCACCCTATCTGGTTAACCGTCCAAACATTTTATCATCTATCTACTTGAGGATGATGTTTTTTTCCTCTCACCTAAAGCGCAGATGCATGCCAAATTAGCATGCACTTGAAGGGTTTGCAGCATTCCAGACAAAGCCTGGGTCGCATGGCATCATCAGCCAGAAGAGCGGCAGCATAAAGGTCGGCTGGTCCGGCTAGTGAGGAACCTGTCGAGCTCTTGCGACACACCTTCGCGGCCACGAGCGGTATGGCACAGTATGGCTTGAAAGCTGGCAATTTCAAAAACCTGCCAGAGGTTTCAGCCTCATGTTTTGATATGCTGAAAGCCTTCGCGGAAGAAGGGCTACAACATCAGCTTGGCTTGCTCTCTGAATCAACTTCAGTTTTGCTGGTCTGGACTGGTGTTTTTTTGCAGCTCCCATTCGGGAGATTGAGTCAATCATGTTTATTTATCTTTATATATATATCCAGTTTTATTCATACATATAATATATATAAATATATATGTATATATTTTATGTATGTATGTAGCAACTAATCTATAATCGTATTCAGTATATCTTACGGTGAAACCTCAGGCCATCTCAGGCCATTTGTTTGGACCGTTTTTTGCTCCCCAAACCCAGCACCGTCAGCCAAGTGCAGCCAACTGCCGGCATTATGTCCCCCAACAAAATACCCCCATGATTACTTCAATTTGTTCTTAAATAATGGGGACATACACCAGTTAATTTGGGAAATTTCATCGTGGCAGGTACCAGCAGTGTCAATGCCCCAAAAAATCAGGAGCCTTTTTGGCAGCACAGGTCACCCCAAATAATTTGGCCATATGCACAAAAATAAATAATATATATATATATGATAGGAATTCCAAATATAGTTCCCCATGTGATCAACCCCAAAGAAAAATAAACGTATACATCCCCAGATTATTATCAAACTTTCTTGTTACCTGGAAGGACGACATCATGGCAACTTGATAAAATTTACAGCCGAGTTCCAAGCCCCAAGATGTTTTGGTGGTGGATTTTTTCATTTCCATTCAGAAATTGTTTTTCATTCCAGAAATTGGATTTTAAAATTTAAAATCATAATTATTGGGATTAAGGGGTTGCCTAATGCCTACAAACTTCTGGGAAGAAAGGTGCCGCACTGGGCAGAGAGGGGGGCGCATGGTTGTAGCATGCTGCTCTTAGCAACCCCATGGGCCATAGAACTACAGTTCTGATCTGCAAAATGTTGCAGGATTCATACTATCTATATATATATATATATATGCCAAGTACCTAAATACAAAGGATCCCACCGGAAGTAGTTCCTAGTGAGGGTCTTTCCCGAATCCCTATATTTGATGCACTCGGATAGTTAGGGATAGTATAAAAATGTATAAAATATCTAGTTCAAAAGAATTTGTGACCAAAGTTTACTTGTTTTCCAAACATTCAAAATTGGTTCAATCACTTTCCAATGGTGAATAACATCCCTTCTCAATAAGTTTCTAATTCCCAAAGTTGACAATTATCCAAGTTGTGCAAATCGTTTCAAGAACTGTCAGGGTTGCTCCAAACCCCGTGTACAAGGAGGGGTAAATTGGGTACATAGATAATTTCACCAAATTAAACCCATTGTGGCTATCAGTTGCCTATAATGAGTTGGAGCAAGCCTATAACTTCTCAATAACTGTTGAATTCTCCAAGTTAGTGTTTTAAATCATCAAAGTTTTCCATTTGTTTTCCAATTTGATAAGGAAAATCAACATCAACCCATGTAAATAATCATAACTTCGCAATCTCAATCACATCCCTTCTCAATCAATTGATAACATCCCTTCTCAATAACATCCCGTCTCAATAAACATAATTCTTGTGAAAATCCAATTACCCTCTGGTAAACTAACATAGCTATTGAAAATGGCCATTTATAGTGAGTTTTCCCATGAAAAATGGTGGATCTTTCCATAGCTACGTTAAATTACCAGAGGGTACTCCATCACTTCCTGTCCAACTTTCTCAGGTGGATCCGTCCTTGGTCTTCTCCAAAGCCGCCCACAGAGGTTGGAATGCGCCGTGCCGCTGCCCAACAATGTCCTGTGGCCGCTGAAGAGAAATAGCAAAAAAAAATGCAGGAAACCAATAGTAAATGGTGTAACATAGGTTTATTTACCTATCATGGTTACTTCTTGTTGGAATGGTGCAACATAAGCAAATGGAATGTTCTTTTCCATGTTTACATACCAGATTACAGAACTGCAAAAAACAGCATCCATCAAATTCCTCTAAAATATCTCTTTCAGCAATGATTGACGGTGTTTACATCTGCCACGGTGGGGATCTTTTGAAAATCACTCGCTGATGTTCCTCTTCAAATGGGGCTTCAGGCCACGCAGGTTCATTTCCCAAAGGGTAACCATTGGAGATGGAAGGAGATGGAGAGCCCCTCGATTGTTTCTTGGAAATCAAATGACATCGGATTAAGATGGATTAAGAAACGATAATAACAATAATAACCATTGTATAATAGTTAATCCATCTCAATTATTTGAAATTTATAGTTATTGTACAGTAACTACAGTAACTCATCTGCCATCCTTCTATGAAGCTGTATATGGATTGCAAATGGAACCTGTCTCAACCAGCCTTACCAATCCAACTTCGTCCTTGGATGTTGAACGAATCTCATCAATCTCATCATGACATCTGCAAGCAGTGCCCAAACTGCTACAGGGATTCCGAATGGATTTGCTAAGGGGTCCCAACAAATCACATAATCCCTATAGATTTCTTTGATTTGTTGATGTTCCATTGGCAAAATAACAACTCACCTCAAGGAAACATGGTAAATTTTAGATGTTTGTTTCTATTAAACATGATGATTTTCCAATTCGCAATGTCAAATTACCAGAGGGTAACTCCTAGTATATGCCACTATATTCCCATTCTATCTTTATACATCCGTATTGTTGTTGGTTAACTCTACTAAACCCAGGTTTATGAATTAAAGCATACAATGATCCACAGAGTTTCTCCACCAGTCAGGGCTGCTTTCAGAGCCTGGTGTGAAGAGAGCTGCAGTGGCCAAAAGAGCGCCTGAGTCCAGTGAAAAAAAATCAATCTGGGGGTGATTGTCATGGGAATATAAAGGGAATTATCCACAAACATAAAAGTATCATGAACATCATGAACAATATAATATATATATAATATATAATATACAGTTATAAGTTATATATTATATGTATATATATTATATGTATAATATATATATATATATATTCATTCTGTGTAAATCAGGAGGTGATCAGAAAAAAAAACGATTTGACACAAGAAACATGGGTCTAGAAGCTGTATATGGGATTATATGGGTTTGTCTGAAAATAGGGTGGGCCCCATGGTACCCGGTCCATCCAACCTGTGGGTAGTCTGTAGCGAGGTCCTCGCGAGGCAGCGAGGCAAAAGTCGAACCCGGCCGATGGCCCAAAGGTGGCAAGATGGATGCATAAGGAAGTGAAATGGAGGTTTAAGTCATGGGGGATCCCCAAGTCACCATAGGTTTCAATCCTAAAATGGTCGAATGACTTGGATGATTTAGGGGTACCCCCAGTTCCTCCAAATGGGTACACGACATCCTGATGATATGACATGGTGATGTCAGTCTGGACGGGTTTAGCACTGGTCCCTGTTGTGCACACCGTTGGAACCTTGGCATATCCTTTTCGGGGGCAATGGGAATCCCTGTCTGAACCAGTCTGAACTGTGTCTGAACAGGCCTTTCTTCTGGAGGGGTGGATGGTATCCTATATGACTATGGGTCAAAATTAGGTACCCCAAAATTATGGATGGTCCTGGATGGTTAATACTAAACTAGACTAACATCTGTGGTTCCCTAGGTCTTCCATTTTGACCCATCCCCATATGTTGGTTCACAATCCAGGATGCTTCAAGGAAACTGACTTGGTATGTCGAGTAACGGTGAGTTGATCGCGCCCTCCTTCCAATGTGAGTCACGCAACCTCCTCCAGTAAAATATGAATTACAACAACCTGGCAAACATATATATTTAGTTTTGATCCAAGCATATCCAAGCACTATTTACCCCTAAGCCAATGAAATTCACTTTACAAAGGACCAAGTCAAACACACACCTTAAGATATCTATTCAATTATCCAAGATCTAATGGAGAATCCCACCCCGCTTAGCCATGCCTGTAAGGGTTTCTGAAGCGCCGGCACATTGGGCAAATGTGCCAAGGCCTACAGGATGGGTACCCACGGGACCATTGGATCATGGTATGAACGCAGGGGAACCCAGCTGGTTAATAGTGATGAATAGTGGTTTTAACCATGGTTATTAGTGATTAATACCTTATCTAATGAATAATATATCATATATATCTGGTTGGTGGTTGAGCCCTACCCCTCTGAAAAATAGGAAAGTCAGTTGGGATGATGACATTCCCAATATGTGGAAAAAACCAAAAAGTTCCAAACCACCAACCAGCCAGGTTTGGGATTTTGACAAGAAAAGTGATCTTGGTCTCAATGTGGAACTACTGGGTGAATTTTAGATACTCCTAAGTCATAAATAATTAGTTGAGAAACAATACATTCAATACACAGGTTTACCCGCTTGTCATACAATTTGGCTAAATAGAACTGCATTGACTAATTACAAAACCAAATGTGTAAAGTTTGGATCAAACAGTGGAATATGTTCAGTTTTCCAGCAATTTCCGAGGTCAAACGAGCATGAACATCTACGAATTCAATCAAAACCAGTTGGAATCAGCATCTTGCCTTTGTCGAACTCTCATCTCTACCCACCTTTGAGTGATAAATCCGTTCAAGTCCGACACTTTAATCTCTTGGAATCATCATCAATAGCTCAAAAATCATCTCCATAGAATTATAATCTGCATCTTTCATCACGGTCATTGCGCTCAAAATCGCATTTGAAGGAAACACAAATAGCTCAAAATCATGATCCTCACCATGGTGATGCCTTTGGGAGTTTGCCTTCAAATCAATCAAACATGTTTCCTCGCCACCAGCCAGTCTTCCGCTACCCTCCTGTGGCAACCATCGTAGGAATGGCCAAGAAGGCACGGACCTTCTTAGACATTCTGGAATCAATTGACATTCAAAAACCGGCAAGAACTGTATAGCACAACATAGATTCTATGTCATATTGTATATTGATCATATTGGATGGACAATTGTATAGCATGGTGTCAAACAACTGTGTAACATGGTGTCATATTGATCATATTGGATAGATATATCAATGATATCATGCATAGGAGGGGTTGAGGCACCTTTTCGCTGAGTATAACTGGAGTTAGCTATGAGGATTTGACTGAAAATATATAGGTATCCCCAATTCCGACGGATCAAAATGGTAAGATATGGTAAGATGCTGATGACTGGGGTTTTGATTGACTGGTTGAGTTTACTTTTCCCGTTTTCAAAATATGGGGTTTCCATACTTTTCCCGTTTTCAACATGGCTGGGGGAACACGGGAACACCCATATGAATCAACTTTCCTGTTCGGCATTTTCTGGCGGCCTGGCTCCACAGCCAGGCCAGAAGCCATTGAAAAAAGATGAAAAAAACTTGCGAAAGAAATGAAACTCCAAAAACATGTCCCATCATGTTAATTGATGTTTGTTAGTTGGTAAACCCAAGAATCAACCTCGTCATTCGAAGATATGGCGCTTTCTTGAGGCGGTGGATCCTCAAAACCCATGGGGTTTCAATACTAATTCATGGTCCAATATAGTCATCCATGACAACTGGATGATTTGGTGATGTACCTCCAGGTTAGGAAACCTCCATATGGTTTATAGATGTTTATACCAACCATGTCGCGATGTTTCATCATGGGTAAAATACCGCATTCGCCGCCGACCCGAGGACCATTGGACCTGGGGTCCCACACCCAACCCCCGTCTCAAAGACGTGGCTGCAACCTGCCCAACGTGGCTGATACTGGGGCCACTGAATTCAATATTGGGCCATTCAAGAATAGTAGTGCTGCCACTATGCATTTCTATCTATGTAATACCCAGGGGTCGAACTTTTGAGAACTTCACCCCACTTGCCTTGTTTGGAACAATGTAAACTTCTTCAGTGTCAACGTGCAACAACCCACGAATTCGTGGGTGCCAAAGGCTTCTGAGGGAATGACTGTGCATATTTGACTTTTGGGGATGTGTTTTTGAACGTCCACAAACTGTGTAGCTTCTGGTGCTGAAACACGGCAACGGAAGAAGATCGTTTCATATAGACCATGGATTTGATTGGAACAGAAAGAGAGGCTGTACTGTGGATATAAAGGGTAGATGTTCACACGTCGGGACGCCCTTTGCCTTTAAAGATTGCCAACAGCTCAAACACCCGGGGCAGCCGCTCGTGTGCTTGATGGAATGCCTGACGGCGAGAAGTTTGTGTTGATTGTGACCGTATATATATATAGTATATCTGCCTAATACTGCCTATATACTGTAACCATAGTTACATAGTTATAAGATGTTTATAGGCGGTAGATCCCAACTTATATGGAGGTTATCACCATTGTTATTAATATTTATTAATTATATACATTGATAGCCCCAAATGCACCCCCAAGTACTGGGTGAGTATCGAACAAATCGAACAATCTAGTTTGTGGCGGTTGAAATATGTTGAAATGTTCAATCTCAACAAGTGCTTTTTGAGCATGATGAGTGAAATCAATGATTCCCATAGGATCCATGGTGCTGCTATATATGGTGTGCCATGGATCCCATCAATATACCCCCTTTATGTTAGCATATATACCAGCACCATGGATCCGTCATGGGTAATATTATTAGTCATCTATTAGCATTCTATCCCTTTATGTTCCATCAAAAAATCCAGTAATGTCAACCCTGGATTAATAAACCCCTAGGTTGTTTAATTGGGAGGGTACCATTTAAGTATCAAATAATGACTATTGGAGGGGTACCCCCCCAATTAATAAACCATGGTTTATTAATCCGGGGTTGACATTACAGAGAAATATTCCATTCAATCCCGTTGTATCCCCATATCCAAGCCGTGAAATCAATGATTGATTAGTGCCTTCTAATCCGTGCTCGATGATTTGGGATGTACCCAACTGAACCTTAAGACCATCCGTTACCTTCAAAGGCATCCAACGATGCGATGTCTGAGTGGTTGGTAAATCCACTGGTCACTATGAAACATGGAGGTTTTAATGGGAAAACCATAGGAAAACCATAGGAAAACCGGAAAACCATAGGAAAACCATAGGAAAACCGGAAAACCATAGGAAAATGGAGGTTTACCCTCTGGTAAACGTTAACAAAAAGCGAACTGGAAAGATCCACCATTTTACAGCTGGGAAAATCCACTATTTCTATGGTCATTTTCAATAGCTATGTAACAAATTAGCAGAGGGTATATTAATATCATTAAATCAGAATAAATGGAAGATTTTCCATTGCCACGTTCGATTACCGGAGAGTGCACAAGTTTGGATTTGGCGGATATCACACACCATAGTTACTTGTTTCCAGAAAGAGGTAACTATCGCATCAGGTCTCTGGGAAAGCCCAAGATATAAAACCATTCCTTAGAAAAACAACCATTTGGGTGTCATTTTAAATCATGCCAAAATCAGAGTTCCAATTTCATGATCTCAATGGGAGATCTCCAGGATCATAAAATGGAGATACGTAAACGTACCATATAAGGCCATATTTTGTGGGGATATTCCCTGAAATTTAGGCCTGAAAAATAGGCCTTATATAACTTATATATGGTAGGTACCTCCAATTTAGGTTCCTGAAATGGCCATTGATGATCCCCAATAGGGGATGGTCTTATGATCAGTTTTTGCCACACAGTAACTCTATTCGATCACTATCTCATCATTAACCACATGATCTCAGCGTTTGCTTCCCGGGCTTACCACATTAAGACAGTCAGGTCGTTCTAAGTCATCCCTATGTAACGGCTTGACCTTTGAGGCAGGGACCCCACCACATCGGCCTCTCTGATTCCGTCGTCTCCGTCTCCCAGCCGCAATGCCTCACTGCCATCAAGAGGATACTGAAAAAATGGGATCCATGACTAGTAGCCGGGACCAATTTGTATACACCCTAACATGGAGGTTTCCAATTCATGCGGGTACCCCTAAATCATCTATTTAATAGGATTTTCCATTGTAAACCATCCATTTTGGGTATCCCCCATTTCAGGAAACCTCCATATGGGTGTGTCTGAAATCGGTAAAATTGTAATATACCTCCGCAGAAGGCCATTTCAAAAGGAAAATGAGAGATAAACAAACAACTTTGGGGGCTTGTTCAAACAAAGCCGTAAAACATCGTAAAACAATATGGAACATACATACAGCCAACTACAGTACATAAACAGACTTGTTCAACAAAGTAATCATCTAATCCAGCTGCTCATCTGGTGGTTGTAATGAACCTGATAAACAGAAAAGTTGAGTCGGAATCATCAAACCAGGTAGCTATTTCAAACCAGCAAGCAGTGGTCATCTACCCGTGATCCACCAGTACAGCATAGGACAGCTTCAGGTTCCTGCATTGAGATGCCTTGAACATCCCTTGTTGTTAATTGCCAAAGCAGTGATCAGTTGGTGGTTTTGAATCAAAGCACTCCACAAACCTATTGTCTTTGGAATCAAAGCACTTCACAAGTGCAACGATTGGCTGAGTCGTGATCCATGGTGGCTGACCAAAAAGATGCTCTAAGAAAGGCAAATGTTGCTGTAGTTGTTGTGGATGTGATATCTAAAACATGGAGTACTGAGTTCTTCATCTTGTTTATCTTACAGTGTCCATTTCCACACTGTTCCGTTTGGAAACAGCTCATGTTCCGTTTGGAGTCCCAACTGGGTATAATTTTTCTGACCAGAAAACCCGCACCACGCCATACAAGTAAGGTCTCATAAGGTGGAATAATGTGGAATTGCCATATTCTTGTGGTTCATACCCTCCCATTTTTGTTGGACATAAAGCCCATGTTCAATCCCATCAGATCACCATTCGAATACCATGAAAGTCCTATATAAACCCCAGTTCCTGACCCTTTTCCCTCACTTGAGCATGGTTGATGATTTGTTTGGGGAGTATACTAGCCAATATATTGGGGATTACAATAATCCAAGAACGGGGAATCCCTATTAACCACCCAGTATTGAATGGAATGACAGGGGGATTTTGAACAGCTCACTTCACTTGGATCATCAGCTACGGCCAGGCCACTGTGAGCACACCTGTGATCAATGCCTCAAGCAGCTCGACCTGGCTTGAGAAATGGAGAAACACTCACCGGCTGGTGAACTAAGTGGATAGATAGATAGATAGATAGATAGATAGATAGATAGATAGATAGATAGATAGATAGATAGATAGATAGATAGATAGATAGATAGATAGATTAGATAGATAGATAGATAGATAGATAGATAGATATGATAGATAGATAGATAGATAGATAGATAGATAGATAGATAGATAGATAGATAGATAGATAGATAGATAGATAGATAGATAGATAGATAGATAGATAGATAGATAGATAGATAGATAGATAGATAGATAGATAGATTAGATAGATTAGATAGATTAGATAGATTAGATAGATTAGATAGATTAGATAGATTAGATTAGATTAGATTTGATTAGATTTGATTAGATTTGATTAGATTTGATTAGATTAGATAGATAGATAGATAGATAAATAGATAGATAGATAGATAAAAATGGTCTTTCTCAACGAACTTTAAGAATCCTAAGCTTACATTTCTGTGATCATGTGAGAGTGTAATGCTCAAGATGATCATGAAAACTGCCAGTTTCATTTTGAACATCACCAAAAATATACAATCCGGTAATCAAAACTAGCAATGGACCATTACCCATTTATACAAGATGCTCGAAAATAGCAATAGACTTATATACATGATGCTCCCATCAAAACCGTGCGTTCGGGGGATTTCGCATAGCCATGTTTGATTACCGGAGGGCAATCATGTCTATAGGCACAGAGCTGGGCCAGGGTCCTCCGTGTCGCCTGGTTGCCTGAAAATTATGGATTGGCACTGATTGTACTGCCGGTACTGCCGAAAAGTGATAAACATCAATGACAAAATATCGCAAAACAATCAATTCGGTGAAGGATTCTAAATCATGATGAACATATGTCAAAATATGTCAAAATATGTCAAAATATGTCAAAATATGTCAAAATATGTCAAAATATGTCAAAATATGTCAAAATACAGCCTACTTGGATGCGCATCCTTTCACCATCTACAACCCACAATAAGAACTAGGGAAACTAACCATGGCTAGCAACCATAAACCAACCGGGATGCTCCCTGCGACTGTGGCGACATTAAAAAAAATGCCTGCTCGGGCCGCGAAGCCGACAAGCGGTTTCTTCCCTGGCATCGGGCACATCTTGAGGGACTCCTAAGCTTGATGGTGAATCATCATCCTCCCTATTGAAATGGGTTTGTATATATATATAATTACGTGTATATATATATATATAATACTGGTTGGTGGTTTCAACCCCTCTGAAAAATATTAGTCAGTTGGGATGATTATTCCCAATATATGGAAAATAATTATACATTATATATATATATAAATGGGTATGTGCTATGTGGTGTATATGGATATAATACACATTTTTCACACACAAATGGATGGAATAGCTGGGAAGCTGGACATCTCTCAAAAGTCTAACATCCTCGGTAAAAAATGCTATAAAATGATGGGGGGTGCCTCATACTCATGGAGCACACAATGCCAATGGAGGTATTACTGCACCCCAAACCGAAGAGATCGTGAGTTTACTGCGTGTTCATGTCAGTTCAGGGTCGGTCAGTGAGGTTGCTAGAATGAAACTAGATCCATCATGTTTCTTGGTTGATGACATTTTTCCATCGTCAGTTGAACACCATTTTTTCCTGGTGAAGACAA